ATACTGCTGCTCTTATGACAACTTGTATTTAACTTAAGCAACAGCCAGATGTCGGCTCTGTGGCTAAGTCGATGCGAACGCTTCGTAATGCCGGGATGCCGGGTTCGATCCCAGCTGCAGGCCATCCGTTGGTTTCGACAGTGGTATCAAGAAAGCTGACCGTCCAGAAAGAAAGGGCAAAGAATGGACGTAAATTGCCTAGAAAAACCACACAACAGCCAGGGGTTGTTGCGGTTGGTTCTGCAACGTCCTGTAAAGGATACGCAACCATTTTTTACAGCCAGATTAAGACTCGCCTAGTATAGAGATGGTAGCCGCTATGGCCCACTGGTCAGCGCATATGCAGGCAGATCCAATGATCTTGTGTTTGAATCATATCTGAGGATGAGATTTATAGCCTCTCCAGAATCGGACATTTTTTGTTTCGTGCGAAGTAATCGAAGTTTGTAATTGTCATCACATCACTTTAAGTGGAAAATCGGCCAATTTAGCTACTAATGTGTGCCTGGTTTAGCTTCCCTATGTGTGCCTGGTTTAGCTACAAATGTGTGCCTGGTTTTAGCTACAAATGTGTGCCTGGTTTAGCTACAAATGTGTGCCTGGTTTAGCTTCCCTATGTGTGCCTGGTTTAGCTACAAATGTGTGCCTGGTTTAGCTACAAATGTGTGCCTGATTTAGCTTCCCTATGTGTGCCTGGTTTAGCTACAAATGTGTGCCTGGTTTAGCTACAAATGTGTGCCTGGTTTAGCTACACATGTGTGCCTGGTTAAGCTACAAATGTGTTCCTGGTTTAGCTTCCCTATGTGTGCCTGGTTTAGCTACAAATGTGTGCCTGGTTTAGCTACAAATGTGTGCCTGGTTTAGCTACACATGTGTGCTTGGTTTAGCTACAAATGTGTTCCTGGTTTAGCTTCCCTATGTGTGCCTGGTTTAGCTACAAATGTGTGCCTGGTTTAGCTACAAATGTGTGCCTGGTTTAGCTACACATGTGTGCCTGGTTTAGCTACAAATGTGTTCCTGGTTTAGCTTCCCTATGTGTGCCTGGTTTAGCTACAAATGCGTGCCTGGTTTAGCTACAAATGTGTGCCTGGTTTAGCTACTACTGTTTATCTTCCCTATGTGTGCATGGTTTAGCTACAAATGTGTGCCTGGTTTAGCTTCCCTATGTGTGCCTGGTTTAGCTACAAATGTGTGCCTGATTTAGGTCACAACCGGCTCCAGTTGACGGGGGTTGCTGCTTACGTCACCAGATCATGTTAACAATGCGTTAACGCAGCGGTTCATCAACTGGGTGCCGAACCACTCCGGGGTGCCGTGATCTTATGCCAGGGGTGCTGCGGCAATAATCAAGAAAAGTCGGCTAAAAATTTTGAAATTTTTAGAGAATGCATGTAGATACTTAAAAGTTCAAATTTAAGTTGTCTTACCTGGCCACTTTCGAAAATAGTTTATTTCTTGCTAGAGATCTGCCGCGTTAGCAATATCTGGTCAAAATATGGGGGTGACTGCAGTCAAGCTAATACAAGGAATTCCAGGGAAATTTGAATATAAAGGCTTGACCAAATGGGGAAGCTGAAAAACGTGCACAAAACAACATAAATAACGTAACGTTTCGGCCGGGCAGCATTTGTCAAACATAAAGTGAACTACACACACACACAAAATTCATTTTTTGTCCCGCCGAAAAGTTACGTTATTTGTGTTGTTTTGGGCACGCTTTTCTGCTTCCTCATTTGGTCAAGCTTTTAAGTCAAATTTCCCTCGAATTCCTAGCAAAACTCCAAATTCTGTCCGATTCAGCGCCGTTAGGCTACTCTTTTCGATTTTACACTTCCAGGGGATTTTTTAAACATGTGCAACAATACACACAGGCGTCCGATCTCACTACCCAGAGACCAGGTGGAACAACTTGAAGTCTAAGTCAACTTGAAAAACATCCCAGCCCTTACCGGGGATGGACTTCAGGACCTCTAATACTTGAGGCGGACACCATGACTTGAGACCACGCAGCACCTTCAAGTGTTTTTAGGCTGTGGGTATTTCTTTTGACACCCACCCCCCCCCCCCCCTCCTCCCCCCAACCACTATCAGTATCGCCCTCCCTCCCCCAACCACTATCAGTATCGCCCTCCCTCCCCCAACCACTATCAGTATCGCCCTCCCTCCCCCAACCACTATCAGTATCGCCCCCCCTCCCCCAACCACTATCAGTATCGCCCTCCCTCCCCCAACCACTATCAGTATCGCCCCCCCTCCCCCAACCACTATCAGTATCCCCCTCCCCCAACCACTATCAGTATCGCCCTCCCTCCCCCAACCACTATCAGTATCACCCCCCCCTCCCCCAACCACTATCAGTATCGCCCCCCCCCCCAACCACTATCAGTATCGCCCTCCCTCCCCCAACCACTATCAGTATCGCCCCCCCTCCCCCAACCACTATCAGTATCCCCCCCCAACCACTATCAGTATCGCCCTCCCTCCCCCAACCACTATCAGTATCACCCCCCCTCCCCCAACCACTATCAGTATCACCCCCCCTCCCCCAACCACTATCAGTATCGCCTTGCTAATATTTACAAAGCATCTCAAAACGCATCTCCTACTAAATAAAAGGTTAGTTGCGTATCCTTTACAGGACGTTGCAGAACCACCCCCATCAGCCACTGGCTGTTATGTGGCTTCACTAGGCAAATTTACGTCTAGTAGTTTGCCATGCCCTGGACGGTCGGCTTTCTTGATACCACTGTCGAACCGGCATACCGGCATTACGAAGCGTTCGCATTGACTTAGCCACAGAGCCAACACTAAAACACTAATAGACTCAGACTGAAATAGAATGTGGCTGGTTGCAAGCAGACACAAACTGCTCGAGTTACTGAAAAAATACCAAGTGTTTATTTTCTTTCGCAAGAGAGTTTATAGAAATAAGGCAGTCGCGACAAGAAGCTTGCCTGCGGATCAAAAAGTCGTGGGTTCGGATCCGGACGGAACATGGCTTTCTTCAAAAGTGACCTTGGCTCCCAGGTCGATCAAGCCTTGAGTGGGTATCAGTTGCAGTCCTGGAAAGTAAAGGCAGCCGGCGTGATGTTGACCAGATCACCCACCAAGTGCCGATCGGTCTATAAAATAAGGTCCAGCCCTACATGCCAAATACGCCTGAAGGCGAGTAAAAGGATCTCTCACTTTTTAAAATAGAGCCAATCCTGATGTCCGAAAGTGGACCATGACCGTAAAAAGATTAGAGTGAAATTATGCAGAGCTGCAGAATTTTGGTGTTACATAAAAACGAGAGTTTAGTTGAAATGATTCAAGAACCGACATCACAGCACTCGGAGCATTCTCATAAGCGCCCTGTCCCCATCTTCAGCAGCCAGCGAAGAGTTCCGATACTAATAGTGCCAGTAGCATTCTGATTAAACGTCCGTCTTGCCTTTCCTCTGAGCCTCGAGCATCTGCCAGAACCTCTCGTCACTCCCCACTGCATCAATCTCACCAGACTGTGGTGATCCATCTGCTCCTCCGAACTGTACATGCTCTCCCACAAGGCACTAACCACATCTGCCTTATCATTCATCAGTATTCCACCAAGTTGTGCAGAGCCGGCCAGTCTGTCCATTTCCCAACGTGTCCTAGAGGAAACAAAAATCCAGACAATACTCCTCACCCATGTCCCCCACTGGAAAGCTTGCCACTCTGCACGAAGCATGTCTGTCCCGACCTTCCCCAGCATGCTTTCTGAGTCTAAAACAATGACAATCACGATTTGTATGTGTGTCGTGTTCTCTACCTAGCGGAAAGCTGCAATGACCGCCTCCACTTTTAAGCTGGATGTTGTGGTATCATATGCTAGTCGACCATTACCGTTTGCTAAGAACACCAGAGACATGAAAAGCGTAATTGAGATACCTAAACTCCCTTCGTGTCAAGCAATGCGGAATGCGTAATTTGTACAAATTTGTTGACTTAAGTTCTCTGTGTGGTAGAATAGTCAACTAATTAGAGGTGTTTCCTTCGAAGTCGGTGTGCATCTGCCTAAGAGTTGAGGAACCAAAAATCTGCACATAATAACAATTTTAGATCTGTAAAAAGGAGTTGCAGGTAAGACACAAGTTCAGAACAACCAGAACAGAACCTACAGCCAATGAACTCTAAGAAGTTGACCTCGTTCCTGTGTATACTTGTATGTGAATGGCGTGTAATACAATGGAACCTACCAATCAAATCTCTTTCTTAAATGCTTGTGTATTCTAAACAAAACATTACAGTCTGCTGTGCTTGTAAATTGTTGCTGTGCTTGTAATTCGACCTATGTTTGGTTAATATACATGTTTGAAACCTATGGTGCCATTTCAATGATTTGAGACGAATTCTGTCTGTATTCCATTGTTATGGATTTCAGTCTGTACGACAGACATGTCCAGTGAAAACACCTTTTTTAGGGGTGTTAGTTGGTGGTGTTCTTAGTACCATTGTTTCCATAGTGAGGCGCACGCACCATTCAGAGGGGACAGGTTTGACTCCCGGCACGGTAGCTACAGCTTCCGATTTTTATGTTGTCTAGTGTGTCCTTCTATCTTTTTATGAGTGCTGATTAATATCTGTTAGTTTATTATACATATAAAATGTTTGTAAAGAAGAGTGTTGAGATTGCGAGCTTCTTCAACTTCTTTGTGTTTACCGGCTGTCAATTGCAGATTGTTCACCCACTTCTATACTTTGATCTGGTTCCAGAACTTGAGTTTTACGTGCACGTCCATTTTACTGATCTGGCTTATTTGTGTGCCGACTATTGGTTTCTTACATCTCACTCAGACTACTCAGGAAAACCCTTAACCAGTCAACTTTTAACGCCATGCTTGACTTTATTTCCCCTAAAAGGGCAACATGGTTTACTGGTGAAATGAATGTGATGCCATGGTTAAACTTAACAACTTTATTTCTGAGTGTACAAGAAATACGGTAGGTATGAAGAATGTAGAGAAAACAGTCTCTAGAAGCTATCTTCCAGTGTTATTTGGTTCTTTATCATTGTCCAAGGATTTGAGAAGACGAAACAGCGCTGCTGCCTCCCGTATTCGACTGAATTCAATGCAGAAAGCTTGAACTTCTATAAAAATATCCTGTAGAAATAAATATTTACACATTAGTTAGTTGTTGCAACATGGATGATATAATGTGAAAAATCATCCACCTCTAGGGTCTGTGATGCTAAACTTTCTGGGACTGAAAGAGTTAAATATTAAAAAAAAACAAAAATCTATAGCCCCTTAACAAGCATGTGATATGCTGAATTAAGAATCGACATCACAGCACTTGGGTCACTGCCATAAGCACTCGGGACACTCTTTGCATCTTCTGTAGCAAACAAAGTGTTCCAGTTCTGATATCACCAGTATGTCTGATTGTGTATCTGTCTCGCCTTTCCCTTGAGTGTTGAGCATCAGCCGGCTCCTCTGGTAACTCCTTGCAGCATCATTCTCCCCAGACCGTAATGATCTATCAGTGCCTCCATACTGTTCGCCCAGTAAAAAGGGCCCTTATGTAATAAATGGTGAATAATTAAGATTTGATCAAGTCAAATGTGTGGGGCTGAAAGATGCAGATATCACAACCTATCTGTAAACCCTAAAACAATGTCCTAACCATTCTTTTAAGGGTGAACGATGAAGAAAGAGAATCATTCCCCCCCAAAAAGTTATGATGATTAAAAAGATATGTACTAAACAGACTTTAAAAAGCAATGTTAATGTTAGGCATAAACAATCATTCATGCAATGTTTTATTTTGTTGCATCTGTCATCTTTAGACCATCTCACGAGAGTCTTAACACTGATTCTTAACCCTGTCTGTTTTGTTATTTCTGCGATCTTATCTGTCTTATGTTGCAGATGTTCTTTACTTTAACTGATGACAAAGATATCATCTGCCAAGTCCAAATGTTCCAGGTGTTCGAGAAGGTTCCACTGAAGGCCTGTCCGTGTGCCTGTGGTCACTATCTTCATAACATAATCTATCACTAGGAGAAACAAGAAAGGCGACAGAATGCACCCTTGTCGGACTCCTGATGTTACCCTGAAGTATTCTGTTTACACGAGTCCTGCTTTCACTTTGCATTTGGTTCCCTTCACTGTGTCTTTTAAATATGTAATGGTAACCTGTGTAAAATGTTTTTGTATTCTTCGAATCTTATTTTGGGAATTCCCCACAGGTCCACGACTTATTTAGGGGTAAAGGGATTAAAACAAACAAACAAACAGACACATACCTTGACATCTATAGTCCTATTTCTGATAAGAGATTGCAGGAAGACACAAGTGAGACGAACCAATCGGTTCTGGAAGTAACGATCCTTGATGGTCTCACAGGTGGTTATACAGTTGGAGATGTACAGGTGAATGAACTCCGAGGGAAGTTCTACTTGCTGGAAACAATACCAAAAAAGTGGCTGTTAAGTGAAGGCAAACAAACCATCTTGTGTTTAACAGTTATTTTTACTGACGAATTCAAAGAAGCTTTTTATTATGTGCTTATGGAGTGTCAGTTGCATTGTAGTTATTTACAAGTATCGCTTGAGAGGTCCTGGTAGTCAGCATCCTTTGGATATTTTCTCCAGGTCATGCCGGTGTGGTCGCACCTGGCACTGCAACTAGCAGTATTTGTTGATCTGAAATGTTAACTGACAGATCAGACTCACTAAACTCAGAGGTAAGGTAAGATGGACATATAACCAGATTGTGACCAGTACTGTCAGCATTGGAACTCTGCGCTGGCTGCTGAGGATTAGGATGGAGCACACATGAGAATGCCCTGAGTGCTGTGACGTCAATTATTTACTCAATTTAACCCAACTAGCAGTGTTGGAAAAGGGAGGGGAGGTGGGGGGTTGGGCAGCCATCCTAAGAGTGTGAAAAGTTAAAAATTAGTAGCCTGTTGCTATCCCATGACTGCAGAAGCCAACCCCACCTCGCTGTGGTGCAGATGCACCTTTATGACGCACAATGTTAACTGAGAGATTAGGCAATTCTACAACAGCTCGGTCGCCACCGGGGTTACCAAGAGTCGCACCGTTGATCCCAGACCAGTGTGGATGTGAACAGTTAGCTACTGATCATTCAAGACACCATTTGTTAACATATGCCTGAGAGGCAAGGAACCAGCAGTCTGCAAGCAAGTCAGATGCATAAAACAGATGTGCATGTAACAGGTTATGGAGCAGGACTAGAGTCTGAAAGCGGATGAACAACCAGAACTTTCAGCTGGATGTTACAACTTATGAACAAAAAGAAGAAGAAGAAAAAAATGAAGTATTAGGCTTAGGTGTTGGGAGCGCACTTTGTATTGAGGGGATCAATCCCAGCTCCGGACGATTTGTCTTGCGTTTGTTTCGACAGTGGTACAAAGAGCTGACTGTTTAGAGGCAATGGCAAACTACTGAATGTAAAATTTGCCTAGAAAACCCACAACAAAAAAAAAAAAATTTGTTGGGGTAGGTTCTGCAATATCCTGTAAAGAAAATGCTACTAATACAAGTTTCAACTGATCTTTCACAAACCTCAGAGTCCAAACACAGTTTTCTCAAAACAAAAATTTGACATTTCAATGACCTTTGTACTGCATATTTCCTCCAACTTTCTTGTCCTCAATGTATCTTTCGGTAATGGTTTTCAGGTTGTTGGCTTATATAATGTGACCCAGTCTATCTCATTCTTCTATTCTTCTTCTTCTTCGTATAAACTCTGTTTGAAGGTTCTGGTTCTTCGTCCACTTCTGGACTCTAGTGCAGTTCTAGAACTTGTGTTGTATGCACATCCATTTTACAGACCCGACATCTGTATGCAGACTGCTGGTTAGGTTCTTCTCCAGCAGATGCACCCCAACTTCAAAGGAAGCTCATTTTAATAAATGCTTTTGGGTATACAGTGGACCTATCGCGCCCCCCCCCCCCCATGTGCAGGTTGTTGGGTCACCAGTTGCTGTTGACTATCTGATCGGCTCCCTCCACCTTTGACGGTTGGCCTCTTCTCCTTTCCTCCTCTACCCAGCCTTACATTACTGTTTTGGAGAGGCCGTGAGACCTTATTACATGTCCGCACCATTGCATTTTCCGCCTTTTCACTGTAGTTAAAAGAGGCTCATATTTGCTAATGTTCATACAGGGATTCTGACGGAAAAAATTTACATAAATAGTGGGGAGATGTATAGACAGGTGGATGGATGACAGGACAGATAATTAGGCAGACAACTATGTTTCCTGATGCTAACATGTATTGAGGTATGAACAACGGATCAACAGCACAGCACATGGGTAGTAACCCATCAGTGCTCTGTTCTTCTGATAACTCAAATCCGAGTTCAAAAAGCTCAGCACAGTGCACAAACACTGTAGCACCGCTGAGGATCCTGAAATACTTTGGGTAGATTTTCAACTTCAAATTTTGCCCGGGCAGGGCCGTTATGCTACTTTTTTTCGATTTCCAACTGCCAGGGGATTTTTTACCTGCGTGACAATGCACACGGGCGTCCGATCTCACTACCTAGAGACCAGTGGAAATTACTAGAAGTCCAAGTCTACGTGAAAAAACCCCCGCCCTTACCGAGGATAGAACCCGGAACCTCTAGCACTTGAGGCGGACACAATGCCTCGAGACCATGCAGCTCCCTATGCTAACATGTATTTCAAATACAACGAATACACTCACCGTTGTAAGCCTGTTGACTACTTCCATTGAGTGAAGAGACATCTCCATATTTACAAGCACCTGAAAATAGCTAGTAAGAATTGTCAAACATGAGACTTGTAATATGCAGACTTGTGTCAGTGACAATGTGTTTACAACCACATATGTGCAATTATAGGGAGCTGCCATGCTGTCATGACGAGACACTTGCCTGTGGATCTCAAGGTCATGGGTTCGAAACCAAACAGTGAGAGATTTTTTTAAAAATGACCTTGGCTAACCCAGCCTGAAGTGGGTACCAGTTCCTGGCAAGTAAACAGTGGTTGGCGTGGAAAAGGCTTCTTTACTTTTACTTAGGTGCAATTATAAAAAATCAAATGGGCACAGCATATGGATAATTTGGCAGGATTACCATGACACAGTTAATGAGGGAGATGTTAAATGTAGCTTAGGAATTTGGGCTTTCCTCCAAATAACAGGCACACATTATGGCGACCGCAAAAACACCCTAACAGGGCCTCAGTCACATGTCAACTGCGGACTTTGGGCGACTATCGCCACCACCGAGAGTATCTCCCACGCCGCTACATGCAGCGTGTATTGGGGCTAAACTAGATGGCTGGGACTCACGAGCAGCAGCTTCTGCATCTCCTGCCGCTTTGCTCTCCCAGCCCCAATCCACACAGAGCGTAGTGGCGTGGGAGATACCCTCGGATGTGGCGGTAGTCGCCGGAAGTCTGCAATTGACTTGTAACTGAGGCTTTGTTAGGGTGTTTATGTTCAAAGGCAGGATGTGCTTTCACTGGAGAAACTCTTGTTCGAATCCTCTTTAGGATCATAGAATTGTTCCTGTCATGAGCAAAACTAATGTCCTAATCTATACCATCCATGATAAGTGCACTAGCCATGCGACCCTAAATTCTCAGGTGCAAGACCTCCAGTCCTTCATCAGCCTAAAAAGTAGTATATACAGGCAGTGATGACTATGTTCAAGGCAGTTTTTAAATTGCAAATGATAAGATCCCAGTATGGGTTCCAGGGTTCGGCGATCCTCTGAATTACGGTTCTAGTTTAGCCCCAATCCATGCCGCGTAAGGGAAATACTCTTGCGGTGGCGGAAGTGCGCAATTGACAAGTGACTGAGGCCCTGTTAGGGTATATTTTCTGCCTCGATAATTTAGAACCGTTATTCGGAGGATAGCCCAGGGTTCTACTGTAGGAGGGCAAAAGAACTGACCCACTGCCTCATAACAAGCATTTCATTAGACTAATTAAGGGTAGTTCTTCGAAGTCGGAGAGGCAAGGAACTAACAGTCTGCACACAAAAAAGCCAGATAGGTAAAATGGATGTGAGCACAAAACTCACGTCCTGGAACAAGTCTAAAGTCCAGTCCAGAAATAGATAAAAAACCCTAACTTTCCATCAGTGTTTACAGCCAGTGAATGCGAAATTAAAAAAAAAAAAAAAAGTAGTAATTATGAAAACACTCAGATTTATGCACTGCAATTGCTGAAGTAATTCAAAATCAAAGTAGTTTTATAATTTTCTTGGTAATGGAATAGCTGTATGTTCCTAAAAATTAGAGAATCTGTTTCAGCTTTTATTCAAGCTGACCTTACTATTATAGGCTTTTTTAAGGTGAAAAGATTAAGATTAGTGCATCCATTTTGATTTATATCACTCTGCAGCGCAACTGGATATCTGCCAAGATAAATGCACAAAGTATGAAATCCACAGCATTAGGGAAACCCTACTTTGAGAAGAGAGTTCATCTATACAAGAAGCAATACAGACAAAAATGAAAGGACATGGGTTAAAATAGACCAGAAAAGCCTTCATTTGTTCTTTCAGTTCATACTAAATTTATACAGATAAATAAATCATGTACAATGACAAATTATAACAGTTCAAATGTTACTTACTCTGTTATTTGAGTTGAGTTCATGAGCTTCAGTAAAACTTCTATAGCAACCAGTGGATTGTTCTCTACCAAATCTGGCAGCTGAAGGGAAAATCATTGGAAATAAGTAAGTTCAGTCTGTATTGAAATGTTATTCTTAGAACCTATTCAAACTCTTTCACCCCAGAAACCCTTAGTAAAATAAAGAATCCTTTTCCACGCCTTCAGGTGTATTGGGCATATAGGGCTAGATCTATATTTTACAGGGCAATCTGCACTTCTGGGGTGATATGGTCAACATCACGCCAGCAGCCTTTAGTTGCCAGGACCCGCCTGGTACCCACTCAAGGCTGGGTCTACCTGGAAGCCAAGGTTATTTTTGAAGAAAGCCAAGCTCCGTTAGGATCTGAACTCATGACCTTCAGATCTGCAGGTGAGCATCTAGCCGCAACACGGCGACGATTCTCTCAGAAACTCTTAGATGAAAAAACCTATGACCCTGGCAATTCAGGAGATAAATTCTTTATAAACAAAAACATTTTACACAGGTCAATAATACATATTTTTTTTAATGAGTCGATTTATATATTTTTTCAATGCTTTGGTTTAAATGAAGGGGATAAATCAACAAATACGAAAGAAGTCAAAATTAAATGGATTTCACTTACTCTGGCCTAAAAAAACTAGCAACTAAACAGAAAAATCACGGAAATAAAACGGTCAGTAATGAAGTGTTATCCTTAAAACCTATTGAAACCTTTCCAGCCCAGAAAATCTTAGAAGAAAAAACCTATGATCCTGGAAATTCCAGAAACAAATTTTTAAAAACAAAATAATTTTACACAGGTCATTAATACATCTTTTTTTAATGTATTAAATAATATTTTTTTTTAAATTTATTTGGTCTAAATGAAGGGGATAAACAAAAAATATCCGAAAAATATCAACGCAGTGCACAAGCTTTGCAGCATCGGTGAGGATCCTGAAATACTTTGGGTAGATTTTTAACTCCAAATTTTTACGTGTGCAACACAGGCGTCCAATCTTACTACCCAAAGACCAGGGGGAATTACTGGAAGTCCAAGTCCACCTGAAAAAATCCCAGCCCTCACTGGGGATTGAACCCAGAACCTCTAGCACTCGAGGCAGACACCATGCCTCGCGACCATGCAGCTCCCAGGATTCTTTTGGAAAATCACATCTCCGGGCCTTATTAGACTGGCTTGTTTACAAACTGTATTAATAATTAATTATTATTATATTACTTTGTGCCAGGCCTTAAGTTATTGCTTCTGCCATGATTATTCAAGGTTCTACAATAACAACCAATAGAAGGTCATGAACTGACATGATTTGATGACGGAGTAAAGTTAAAGCTAAACTGAAAGTTGCAAAACGATAAACTTCAATACACCAGCTGTTATCCTGTATGGTTCGGTCTCTCCCTGAAGAATGGCTATCCACTTGCTGAGGCTGCACAAAGCACTTTTTCCAGAGTACCAGCTATAAACTCTGGTGGAAAGTTCTAGCTGTGCATCCACTTATAAAGTCAGTCTTGTTACTGAACTTGAGTTCTACGGGCATAAATGTTTTATACATCTGGCTTATTTGTATGCAGATTTTTCCCCCCTCACATCTTAGACATGATGCACACTAACTCTGAAGGAGACACCCCTAATTAGTTGTCTTTAATTACATGGAAAGCAGAAATGGTGGGACTGAGAATAAATACAAAGAAAACTAAGATCATGACAAACAGTCCAAACCAACAACCAGTGACCATAAGTAACCAATCGCTTAAAAATGTAGAACATTTCTCATATCTTGGCAGTGTGGTGTCCCTACAGGGAGGGACCGAAGAGGACATACAGTCACGTCTGAACAAAGCTAGAGCTGCTTTTGGAAGGATGAGGCAAATCTGGAAATCCAACAATTACTGCAGAGGAACGAAACTCCGACTCTATAAGAGCATCATTTTGACAGTTCTTCTTTATGGAGCGGAATGCTGGAGAATGTCCAAAAAGGATGTACACAAGCTGTCCACCTTCCACCACACATGTCTACTTAGAGTTATCAAAATTTTCTGGACAGATACAATCTCAAACACTAAACTACTTCAAGTGACAAACCAAGAAACTCTAGACAGTATGATAATCAAGATAAGATGGAAATGGTTTGGTCACATTATGAGAATGAATCCTGATATACCTGCAAAAACAGCTCTCACATGGATACCAGAGGGAAAGAGAAAAAAGGGGCGCCCAAAAACAACATGGAGACGAACGATGGAAAGTGACCTGAGTGCGACATCTTTGACATGGAAAACTGCATTGAAGATTGCACAGGACAGGAAAGCATGGAAAGTCCTCTCTGAAGCCTCATGTGCCACTAGGCATAACGAGAACTGATGATGATGATGAATTACATGCAGCAAAGTGAAATGCAAAGCAGCCCTACTTTTGCCGGCGACAGTCCAATATTGTAGACTAGTTTGCTGTCCTTGTCCAGCTCTTTCTTGATCTGTTGTTGCTGTGGTGGTGACAGCGCACTCTTGAAAGCTTTGGCCATGAGACGGCGGACTTCAACACCCGTGGATGTGTTGACACACATGGTGGTATCCCAGGCCACATTAAAGTCTGTGTCAGTGGGAAGCATCCATACAAGCTGAAATATCACAATTACAAAATATTTATATACAAAAAAAGAAATTATGATGGGCATAGGCAAGGCAAGACCAGCTCCAGCTGACAGGCCATGCTGGTGACGTCACCAAACCAGGCTAACGATATGTCAACGCAGCCATTCTCAAACTGGGCGCCACGAGCGTATGTTAGGGGTGCCGCGGCAATAATCAAGAATGTTTCTATATCTGCTTGACATTAAATTTGCACTGTTTTTTTCTTCTTTTCTTAAGTATTCAAACTGCTTTAATGATTTTTGTTGCCCAATGAAAAAAGTTTGAAAAACGCTGCGTTAACTCATCATTAGCCTGGTTTGTTGACGTCAGCAGCATGGCCTGTTTGCTGGAGCCTGCAAGGCAACATCAGCTTTTGAAGGCTTCAACAAAATTATAAAGTCTAAAGATCAAATTACATACTTCCAATTCTAATTTTATTTCAGTTGTAAAATATGCTTTTGATGGTGGAGACCCACTCAAGGTATGGAGTTAATGTTACATTAATTCCAAAACAAATGTCCAAGGAAACCGATAAACATAAAATGGTTTGAATTCAAGAAAGGCAAAAAGGCAAAGAAATGTATGTGCAAATGCTGGTATCATTAGTGATAAAATAATGAAGATGGTGACATATTAGGCAGTCTGAGAGGAAGTAGACAAAGAATCATAAAACAGGCACAGAAATTATCACATACATGAGCTGAGAAAGTGAGGATGTCCAAAAGAAACCTGTGATAAAAGCTGACTACATATAGTCCGAAGGTACCAGACCAGATTTCCCACTACAGTGGAAAGAAATGAATGGAGAAATCATATGTGAGTTCTATGTGATGTATACATGACATAACAGGAAGGATAATAAATAAATACAGATTTATAGTATTATATTAAACTTTTTTAAAGAGGCTAAATGGGGAAAAAGGGGGGGGGGGGGGGGGGCTGTATACATACATACATACATACATGCATGCATTCATACATATACAGATAAAGAAATAAAACATATCAAGGAAAAACTGGCCTAGAATCAACAGTGGAAGCAGAACTTTAAAGACCACTGGATGAACTAAAACATACAGTGAAGTGAATACAGGAGACAATATGCAGATATAAACAATTTATTTGAAGCAAAGGGAGAAAACAATATTTAAAATAACCACATCACACACCGAGTGAGTGAGTGAGTGATGGTCTATAAAAAAAAAATGGGTTAGGTTCACGTTAATCTTCCCAAACAAAGAAGGTCACCTTTCATTCACAAGTTTGTTGGGCTGGTCGACTTTCCTGAAGGTTACGGGTGTGTCCTGCTCTGTTGTTTGTTTTCTGTGGTGTTTTGCATTAACGTGAGAATGCTTGGGAAATAGGTTGTAGCACTCTCTAGGGTGTTGTGTTAGGGCCAGTTTCTCCATGTTTTTTGGAGTGTTAAAAACGCTGGCGTGCTGAAATATACAGCACACGATATCAGCGGCATTGTGGAAACACCGCCGTAACCTTGTGCCACGGTGACAGGTTCAGGAACTACCAATCAGAAGTGAGCTAGTGTATATATGGGCGCGGCGTGGGGAGACAAATGTTACTTTAACCCAAAAATGCATCTAGCATCATATGTCCAAAGAATCTATAACATCTTATTTTTCTGCAATCACTTAAAAAGGCAGCTGGCATAATATACTGTAGTTACATCTAGGCTGCGATATCTGTGCTTTTCGGCCCAATGCATCTGATCTAAGCAAACCTCTTTACAACATGCCCCCTTCCTCCCCCAAACAGGGCCCCTAAATTCATAGGGAAGAATCGGTCTATTTCAAAGCCCTTTAGACAAGGATTTTTTTAAAGTAGATCCGAGTCACTTGATCTATTAATATAAAGGGCTAGCACTATGTATTCAATGTGCTTTAAGACTTGGTTTATCTATACAGCTATCATCATTATCATGCAGTTGGTCCTTTGGAGTATGTCGCTCTCATCACGGTCTGCCTGAAATAAACTCAGCCTCTTGCCAGCTGTCCAGCCTCATGAACTCTCACCAATGGAGTTACTTATGTGCCTGTCTTCATGCTGGTTGGCCTCTACCCATCTATCCTGGTACCATGATTTCTGCTATTATTTTTCTAGTCCTCTGTTTCATTTGATATAGCTAAATTATTTCAGTTTCGGAGACAAGATGCTGTTTCCTAGGCAACTTTCCTTTATGTTCAGATCTATTTGGACTTATTTCTTTTCTTCTTCGTCATGGTTTTCTTGGGTTCTTACAAGCCATAGTCAGGCATAAAAAATTTCAAAATAATTCTTAACCTCATCTTCTGCAATGTCAAGTGGCAGAGCCAATCTAATAAAGTCTGGCTGAAGTATGTTGTCCACTGCACACTTAGAGCCAGTTGTATATAATGTTCTACTTTCATTAGCCATTTCCAGGCAATCATTGTTAGTTATTCTGGCAGTACAAGGTTTTCACAACAGTCTTCTCAAGAATCAAATCTCAGTTGCCCCAAAACTCTTCTTTATACAGCCATAGTCAGGCATAAAAATTCAAAATAATTTCTTACCTCATCTTCTGCAATGTGAAGTGGTGGAGCCAATCTGATGAACTCTGGCCGAAGCGTGTTGTCCACTGCACATTTCGAGCCAGTCAGTAACGTTTCTGCCACATCTCTCTGAATATCTGGGTTGATCATGTTTGGTTTTCCAAACTGTTCAAAACTGCAAAACAAAATATCGCCTCAATTTAAATACTACAGGAACAGTCCTGACTGTACAAAATGGACATGCTGTGGCGAAAGGAAATGAAAGAGTCGACAGACTGGTTGTGTGTTCAGATGATGAAGAAAGAAGTATGAACAGACTTAGGCAGACATACTGAATGTGCTGCATTCCAGAGAAGAAAACAAACTGTTCAAAACTGGAAAACAAAATATTATCCGAACTGCAGAAACTGTCCTGGCTGCATAAACCGGACATGCCATGATGAAAGGAAATGAAAGAGTCATCAGACTAGTCATGTGTGCAGATGTTGGTAAAAACAGAGGTTTAGGTTTAGGTTTAGACAACGAATCAACATCATTGCACAAGGGTAGTAATCTGTAAGTGCTTCATTCTACTTCAGACTCAAGCCTGAGTCCAAAGAACCTCAGCGCAGTGCACGAACTCCATAGCACCGGCGAGGATCCTGCTATACTTTGGGTACATTTGAACCCCAAATTTTGCCCGGGCAGCGCCGTTAGGCAATTCTTTTCAATTTCCAACTGCCAAGGTTTTTTTTTTTTTACGTGTTCAACAATACACACGGCCGTTGAATTTTACTACCCAGAGACCGGGGTAAATTAATAGAAACCCACATGAAAAAATCATAGCTTTTACCGGGGCCTGAACCCGGGAACTCCAGCACTCGAGGCCGACGCCATACATACTGAATGTGCTGCATTTCAGAGACGAAGAGACAAAGGAGTCAGAGAAGATGAAGTGCCTGTTGGAAATGGGTTTGAAATGAGGACAAGTATGCAAAAATGGTTGTGGGGGGTGGGGGAGGCAAAGAAAGAAGATATGTCAATCAACTCAACTAGGTACAGTCAGCATGGAGACACTGCGGTGGTGGTTACATCCATCAGAGAATGGACGGGTTGGATCAATCTGCCAGGATGTCAATACAGACAACAAAAAACAAGTAACAAATACTACAGAATAAAAGTATGTGATCTGAAATTGCTAACTAAAGAATCAATAAATAAAGTGGCAAAATATGATATTTTTTCGAAGATCGGCTCACTGCTAAGGCACAAACTACTTCTTCTTCTTCTTTGTTCAGCGGCTGTGTGCTCCAGAAGAAAGTCCTGGTTGTTCATCTATTTGGACTTTGTGAAAGGACTTGAGCTTTGCATGTTCATCCACTCAACTGGCTTATTTGTGTGCAGCTGGTTGTTCCTTGCTGCTCAGGCAGATGTACCCTGACTTTGAAGGAAGCTCCCAATAGTCGACTCCTATGACATGCTTTTTGGGGAGGCAGTGGTTTTATTCTTCTTTTCCCCACAATGGGGTCCCGGAACTGATACAGGGAATTATTTGGTATTAAATCCCAAAATAAAACTTTAATGTTTAACTAATAAGACATCTGATGCTATTTAGAGGTTATAAAATCTGATATACGAATAGGCTTCAATGAAAACCTTAAAAGTGTTAATAGAAATGATTACAATAACCATTCACTGTCTTATAACCTGTCATGAATGTCAAGAGTGTTGAGCACACACTACAGTGCAGATGAACATAGTGACAATAATGGTGTAAATATGGCCACCCCACTTTTGACATGCAGCAAAGAGGAACAGTGTTCTAGTATCCGTTCTGTGATCAGTGAACAGGGAAACCTAGAGAAATTGATTGGAAACTGAAGGTAAATATGGCCATGCATGTCTGTCAGTCCAGTGAGTGTATGAATGAAAAAGAAAGTTTTAAAATGGCTTTAATGAACTTTGAGGTCACAACATGTCTAACCCTGTCATAAACAGTCTGTCCAGAAGTCATGATGTTTTGAAACTTCCTACTCTATTCATATACTTGCTGGACTGATAGGTATACATCAACATACTGGATCATCATTTTGGCAAAGAGTTTTTATCGGTTTCACCCCTTCACTAAAGATGCTGAAGATAGGGACAGAGTGCTTATGGGAGTGCCCCGAGTGCTGTGATGTTGATTCTTAATTCAACATTCCCCTTCACTAATACAAAGGAAAACACATAACAGAACACTTGTCCTCTTTTGTGCATTTCAAAAGTGGGTTGGCCATCTTGACATCCTTAACAACAGTACAGACAGGCTACAAGAAAATATCATGGTCACTGCAATTTCTATCACAATTTTAAGTAAACCCACTCAAACGTGGCTAAAGTGTTGACTAAGAGACAACGCTGCCATAGACTCCCTTTAATCCTCCGTATGGTTTTTATTGCTCACATGGCTTATACTTCTGACGCCAGTTTCCTGCAGCGCCTCATCTGCTCAGCAGCAGTGTAGCCCCTAAATGATGTGGCTGCTACATGACTGGAGTCGATAAGAGGCTTGCTTTCAAATCCAGCCACGGTCGGTGTTCGAAACCAGGTGGTTCCTGGGGTTCACCCAGCCTCCAGGAAATGGGTACCAGAGTGACACTCTGGGGTAAATGGAGGAACGTCGCTGTAGCTACAGAGTTATGTGCGAATGGTGACACAGGCGGACAATTCTTATCAGCTGTCCGTACTGGTGGCAAAGCACTTATGGTTTATAACCGTGTACAGTGACGCTGGTTCACATCTCCCGACTGTACCTTTACCTTTAGTAGAGAAACAAGATTATTATGGCCTGGAAAATGAGGCACCTGAGTGTAACCAGAGGGTCTGGCCGGCTCACTACACTCAGAGGAAAGGCAAGACGGACATATAATCAGATTGTGACCGGTACCATCAGTATTGGAACTCTGCGCTGGCTGCTAAAGTTGAGGACGAGGCACACATGGGAATGCCCCGGGTAATGTGATGTCAATTCTTGACTCAACTCAACTCAACTCTGCTGGGCGGACCACCAAGAAATGTCCCGGACCAGCACTGGTCCGCAGATAACCAGTTGAAGAACACTGGCCTAGAAGATACAATTGGCCCAAGATCAAAGATATCAAAGTCCTCTTATATTTAAAAGCCATAATGGACCAAATGTCATCATCAATATCTTCCAGTTCGTGTTCACCAGCTCTAGACTCTGGCAGAAAGTTATGTTTATTCATTCACTTCCAGACTTTGGTCTTGTTCTGGAATTTGACTTTTGCATGCATATCCATTTTACAGATGTTTTTATTTGTATGCAGACTGCTGGTTCCTTGCCTCCTAGGCAGATGTACTTCGACTTTGAAGGAAACATTCCTTATTAAACGACTTCTACAACATCCTTGTTAGGGGGGGTGGTGGGTTTTCCCCAAACAGGGCCCTAAAACCCACACAGGGAACCATCATTCCAGTAAAAGGTACACAAAAATGACCTCACCTTGTAGGTTTTGTCTCTGGATCGGCCAACACACAACTGATGGCAGTCTTGCTGGTGTGAGGCATCTCTGACTGTCTCTGAACAATGAACAGTTGGGTCTGGCTGATGTCTGAGGGCTGCTTGTTCCCAATGTCCATCTGAATTATCTGTGCTGGTGTCTTCTTCAAAAGCTGATGAAAAATAATTACGTTTCTCCATAAATTACTCTGAATATTTTCATCCACTCCCACCAATGCTTACAACAGATTTAATCATCACAGTCTTAGTTAGTTGCGTATCCTTTACAGAACATTGCAGAACCAACCATAGCATTTTATTTTATTGTTATGGTTTTTCTAGGCAAATTTTACGTTCAGTAGTTTGCCACTGCTTCTGAAAGGTCAGCTTTCGGTATCACTGTCGAAACCAATGCCAGACAAATCGTCCACAGCTGGGATTGAACCCAGCACCATAGCATTATGAAGCACGTTCACAACACCCAAGTCACAGACGGATCAGGAAATTTCTTCAAATGTGTCCTGTGTCTTTCCTCTATTTAGATAAATTCTAACAATACCTCCAACCTAAATGATTTTTCTAAGAGGTAGTTAATGGGCAAACTAAAAAATACTATCAAAGAGCAATTAGGGGATTCACACTCACAGTCTTCCTCTGTGTGTGTGTGTGTATGTATGTGAGTGTGTATGAATCTGTGTGTGAGTGAGTGCGCACACGAGAGTGTGTGCATGCATTTTACCACGATGCTTTTGTGTTTTCTCTTGCTATTCATAATATGCATATTATTATATGAACATAACATGCTTTATTGATAAAATATAACTGCTGTGTGAAAGATAGGTGCTTGGAAGGGCTGAATGTAAGACGGGCCTGCGTGCCCAATTTGTGAACCTTTGAAAATAAAGTTTGTTCATTCGTTCTCCCTTCCAGTGGTTTTCAGATGAGAAGGCCACAGGTCTCTATGAAGTCTGTCGTGTGACACATGTCTTCCACTGATCCATACAGGCTAGTTACCACTGGAATGCCAACCAGCCAGACCTGGAATCTCTCTACAGTATGTAGAAGCATGTCTGCAGCATATGTTCAGTATTTTATAGTACCCGTCTATATGGGCAAAGTTCTAATTTCCCCAATCTTGAATTTACATAAGGCTGTGGAGTTTGTTTTTCCTAGAACACAATCACCCCCCCCCCCCCCCCCCAAAAAAAAACCAGATCTGTTTCTTTCATTTGAGGAGGTTGATTGGGTCTTCAGGATTGTGGGAAGCTTGCCAATGGGTTCTAACTGGCTGTTTTGAACCATGGCCAGCTCCAGATATAAGGCCACACAGCTCAAACGGGAATTCCTGTTTTTGTGAGGCTGGCGTGGCCGGTCGGTGGTAACAATTGGTATCGAGTAGATTTATACACAAATTGAACTACAGTTTAATTAATTTGCAACATGTGTTACTGAATTAATTATTATTTTGAAGATAAATAAATGGACTAATTGAAAATATTTAGCTCCGACGATGATCCCCAGGGATCTCTGTAAAAATTGCACTCGTGAACTGAACAGCGCTATGGTTAAATAAACCCACGACCTTCAGAGTGAGAGGGAAATGGCTTCACCACTTCGCCACGGAGACCTCCCAAATACAGATCAAGCTCTATATGCCTCATAAGCCTGAAGGTGTGGAAAACAGTCCATTATTTACTTCACCTCTGCTATTTTTTAAAAGAAATATTTTAAGCTTTACCTCTTTGGATGCGCTGGAGATGAGGTTGGAGAGAAAGTACCTCTCTGGGGCCGACAGTGGTGGTATGGATGACTGCAGATCATAGGGACTGGCCTCTTTTCTTTCAGATGGGTCTTGCTGATGAAAATTAACAGAAAATAAACCTATAAGAATTCATAATCATCCATCGCTATCTTGATGTGTCATGTGTATGTCTCATAGGGATCACAACCTCTTCCTCAGTTCCATTATATTTTGTGGGTTCTTTATTAATATCCTGTTCCAGAAGACATCACAGGACAGTCCAACATTTTAGAGGGTGAGAAGACTGGGTTTTCCCCGACTTTTTGATGCTTTTAACTACCCCAAAACATCTAGAACTGGCCTTAACCCTATCCCACCCATGTCCCACGAGAGAGTGCAAACAGCCTAGGTCCCACAACTGCTTGCAGCCTATCTACAACCCCCTGAAATATCAGACTGTCCCGTGACCTGTGGATTTCCCGTTTGGAGTAGGATATTGATAAAGAACCATTTTGTGTAATCTTTTCAATAATGTCTAGCACATTTAGCCTCTTCTATCAATGTTTGTTATAGGGTATCTCCAGGATTTCCAAGTTTCTTCAGCCCATTTGTTTCTCAATTCAGTGCCTGTATTGATATCAATAATTACTATATCTCAGTTTTAAAACGAGATGTTTTCCTGTGCATACATTTGTTTAAACACTCATACTTTGCAAACAAATGAGATAAACTATGCTTTGAGAGCCGGACAAACTAGCGACACACAGAAAACATACAGTGACCCAAGTTTTTATTTTCCTTTTCTCTTTCTCCATTTAGCTCAGCAAAGTATTGGCTGACAAATCTTTCCTGTGCTTTGTCGAATGTGCTGTGTAAGCTGATCTTCATTTCTTTAAGATTGTCCTAGATGCTGAAATTCCATCATGTGCAGTTTGTCACTGCCCTGTTTTAATTACATTTCTTCAATGTGGCCCTCTGTGGTAGTTGTTTTTAGAATATTCTTATCAGATGGCCAAACCATTTCATCTGTTGCTTATAAGTATTAGCCAAGCAGCTGGCCAAACGGTTAAGAATGTTGGGCTCTTATGCTAGAGACCCAGATTCAAACATTCAGTAAGGTTATGGAATTTGTTATAGTTTTTTTCTTTTATTTATGTCTTTTTGCTGCAGAAAATGAAATCCTATCCCGTATAGTCTGTGACGAGTGCTCTAGCCATGTGGCTCGAAATTCTCAGGCTAAAATAAAAAACTCTACCAAGACTGCCAAAGTGGTAAATACAATGAGTTTTTTTGGCCCATACATACTTTATGACTGGCTTCAGTCCTTGGTGTTCCAGTGTATTCCTTTTATATGTTACCTCTTCTTATGCAGATTGTCTAAGACATCTGATCTTTTACAATTCTACACTTATTAGTTTTAGTGAGGGTTCATGTTTGACAGTAGCAGCATAATTTCAGAAAAAAAACAGTTCTATCAATAAACAAAATGCAATTGCTTTAAAACACAATCAGCATAAAAATACATCCGACCTCTAAAATTTTACTGTTCGTGTTCTTCTTCTTGGTCATATTGTAAACTCTGGCAGAAAGTTCTGATTGTTCACCCACATCTAGGCTTTTTTTTATGCACATCAGTTTTACAGATCTAACTTACTTGTAAGCAGATTGTTGGTTCCGTGCCTCTCAGGCAGATTTCAAAGGATATTTTACAACTGAAAACTATAGTTAATTCAAGTGTGACTTGACTGTGCAAACACTTAAAAAAATGTTTATTTTGTCAAACAATTGCTCCCTTCTTCGCATGTATGCTTTCTAAACAGTTTTCATGGTGAAATGCCCTGCACTATGAAGGGGTAGTTTCATTCTTCTTCTTTTTGTGCCCTACAGCTTATGCCATAAAATGTCGCAGTGAGGAATCAGATTTACTTTCCTGTCTTCTGCTAGCTGCAAAGCTTGTGTTAATGTTATACTGAATTTCTGTAGTGTATTTTTTGCTCAATTCACTAATCTCTTTCTTGATCGGCCTTTTCTTCTTCTTCTTCATTCACCAGCTGTGAATTCCAGTGGAAGGTCCCAGTTAATCTTCCAGCTTTTGGCTTTTACCTAGACCTGAGTTTTGCGTGTACAACCGTTTTACTGGCTTTTGCCGTTCCCTGCGTCACAGACAAATGTACTCCGGCTTCGAGGGAAGACGTCAGGCCTATTTCTAGGATGACTGTGGCCATGATCAGCCTTTTTACTTGTACCCTGTTGTTCTCATGTGTTATGCTTTAGTTGTAGGCTCACTCCACACACCAAATCATTCGGTGCCTGTTCACAACTACACTGAAGATATGGAGCTTGTGCTTTATTCAATTCCAACAAAGACAGCCATTTTGCAATGAGAGACTGAGTCGTACTGACTAAAACCTGAATGAAGCTGATCTTCTTGACTTTAAAACTAAAACATTTTCAGGAACCTATCGTAAACTCGCCCGCATGACAATAGTTCCTTTCCTTCTCATTCATGCCACTGTGGATGTACGGTCTGTCCTATGTTGTGAGGGTCTTATAAGATGGTTTTGTTCGGCATTCGCTATATAATGTTTGTGGAAGGTTGTGTTGCAGTGAGTCTCTATGAGGGGACTGCAGAGGGAAGCGCTAAAGTCGCAACTGTTCATGAGTATTACAATTTTTATTTCTAATTTACTTGGCGGTGACACCCCCCCCCCCCCCCCCCCCCCCCCCCCATAAAAAGAAGCCACCGCTGACAAGGAACATGGAAATACAAAAACATCGCACAGTTTCTATACTTCCGAACCATCAGGCTAGTCAGACAAAGTAGAAATAATCATGCAAGTGAGCGGTGACAACATGAAGAAAATAGACAACGGTTAAACAGTTGTAAATAGGAAATACATGACACCCCCGCAACATAGAACAGGCTGTGTAATCTGCCACGGCATGAATGGGAAGGCAAGGAATTCTCCCCATGCGGGCGGGTTCAAGATAAGTACCCATTTTCATTAACCTCAATTTTCTTTGTCATTTAAATTGTTTCTTCATATCATACTTCCTTATCTTCTTTTACAGAATGCTTAATAACACACCATATATTTCTCAGCACATGTGTGTATGTGTGTGCGCGTGTGTGTATGTATGTAGGTATGGCTATTAGCAGATTACATATAATTCAATGCTTGGTGCAGAAAGAGTACTCTCCCTGCCCCCTGTCTTTGTGGGTTCTAGGGTCTCATTAGGGACTCAGCGCACTTTAACAAGTATGTGGCAAAAGGTGACTAATGAAGGTTCTGCTGAAATCTGATGTGCTGGACCGAAAGGTACGAATATCACATCTGAGTTGTAAACCACAATACAACAAGGCAACCATACTTTTAAAGGTGAACAAAAAAGAAAAAGAAGAAGAAGAAGAAGCAAAAGAAGAAGAAGAAAACTTCCTCCCTCTAAAAGATTATATCTTCACGTCAAATAAAACAACCAAAAACAGAACAAGATGTACCAGCAGATTCAGAAACACTGTGGCAAATGGATTTGCTGCGACCGGGTCCGTCTTGTACATCTCATACAGCAGAAACACAGCCGCCAGTTTCTGGGTGGGGTGCGGAAGTAAGTCTCTATGCTGAAGCAACATGACCTGTAATGGGAAAACAAATATATCAGTGAACTATTTAAAAAAAAAAACAGAGGCTTTGGAGCTGAAATGCTATAGAAAGATTCTCAGAATACAATGGACAAAGAAGAAAAGAAATACTGATATTTTAAAAGACCTGAACATCAAGGAAGATTGGCTAATAAACAGCATCCTGTCTTGGAAGCTGAATATTTTTTTGGACCATATCAAGTACTTTAGTGGACTGGAAAAAATAATAGCAGAAGGCATGGTACCAGGAAGGAGGGGCAGGGGCAGACCAACATGAAGATGGGCACAGGATATAAGTGAATCTTTGAATATAAAAATATATGAGGCAGGAGAGCTGGCGAGAGACTGAGTTTCTTTCAGGCAGACCATGATGAGAGTGATGTTCTGCAAAGGACCTGCTTCATGATGATGATTTGAAGGCAGAAAATATACAAGGACCTATAACCACAAACATAATGTTAAGAGCAATTCTAAGTCATTAATTAATGATAGACAGGTCTTTCCTTTAGAAATCAATTTAAGAATGTGCAAATATTTTTCTTGTAAATAATGTTAACAGGTTAATTTAAAATCAAATAAAATCTTTGTCAATTGTGAAACAGAGTTCTTAACAACTATATCGAACCAATGCTGACATTTAGAGGTGAATTTTGAAGAATTTTTACATTAGTGAACTGAATAGCAGCTGGCCAAGCAGTTACAACATTAGGTTTTCATGCGAGAGACCTGAGTTCGACCCTTTGTAAGACGATAAAGTTTTTCTGTTGGGGGCAAACTTAAACATCCTAACCTGCACAGTCCATGGCAACAGCATTAGCCATGCAACCCTAAATACTCAGGCTCAAGACACCCCCCCCCCCCTTTTTTCCATCTACACTGCCCTAAAAAGTGGTAAAACAGACAATAGTGACAGTGAATTGACATGAAGACTAAATAGAAAAATCAAGAACCAAAGAAGAAATAAACATGCTGGAAACTATCTCTGGCATGTTATATCCTCTACAAATGTAAACTAGAGTTGGTTGAGGCCAGTGAATCACTGGGAGATCAAAGACAAAGACATAATCATCCACTAGGTGGATTCAAAAGATGCTTGCCATGCACTTCAATGCCATTATGGCAGCCAGCTTTACTTCGCAGGAAATTTCCTGGTACCTTCTTTAGGTGGGATGGTTTAGGAGCCAAGGTAATTTATTTTTAAAAAAAACATCCCTTAGAGATTCAAGTGCAATACTCTTGCGATGTCAGGTAAGCATATAGCTACTGTAGCCCCCTACTGAAATTAGTGAAGATGTTTAGAAATATAGAAAGTCAAAATTAAATATGAACAAATCTGGGCAGGGAAAGGAGGGATTTGGGGGGGGGGGGGTTGTTTCTTATGTGACTGGGTGGAATCTTCAGATAAACTACTGAAATTGTAATCAACAAGATGCACCACAACTGCTTTCACATGTGGGAGTTCTATGGCTGGTTAATGAAATTAGGAACATCAATTATTTTAAAATGTAGAGACAATAAAAAAAATGTAATCTATAGGAAGCATACACTGTAAGCATAGAATTATTTTCAACTCCGCTGGAACATATAATTTCACATAAATCATTAATCATGTTCTGTTTACCTCAACAATCTTTAGTTCCCTAAAAACTGTAATAATTGGAAAAACTCTCCAAGCCTTACCAATGCCTGCCCAACTTTAAAATGGTCTTGCTTGTTGGTGAAGTAATGGTGGAAGGAGCTTGCTATACTTTCAAACGTCTGTGCTTGGGTAGCATCTTCAGATAAAACACTGAAATATTCAACAATCAGATGTACCAAAGCTACTTTTATTTTATATGCCTGCAGTGTTTTCTGATACAACACTGAAATATGGGCCAGAGTGTTGAAAATCTGTTTTTACTTACATTTTGTGTACCCAGGTAGCATATATTCACTGCCCCCACCTCCCACAAAAAAAGTTAATTGTGTATTCTTTACAGGACGTTGCAGAACCAACCCCAGCATTTTTTGGATGTTGTGGTTTTTCCAGGGAAGTTTTACGTTCAGTACTTTGCCATTGCTTACTGAACTCACAGAGAAAACAGACAGAAAAGACACAGAGCAAGGGACTCAAAAGAACCCAACTGATGAGGAAGTTAGCTGGAACAGACTGGGGGGGGGGGGGGGGGGGGGGGGGGGGGGGGGGGCAAACCTCAGTGTCCTCAAGAGAACCTATACAGGCTATGTGAGGCCAACACTAGAATATGGAATAACGGCTTGGGGCACAGGAGCTAAATCAAATTTTCCGAAAGTCTCAAAGATCCAAAACCATGCTCTCCATATTATGACAGGGGCAATGCGCTCCACGCCCATATCAGACATGGAAACAATTACTGGTCTCCATGATTTCGAAGATAGGAGAGACACAAAGCTCCTCCACAGCTCTCCAAATACCACCATTCTAAAGAATAACCCATGAACAGTTGACTGCAGAAACCCCAAAAGACTAGACTTAAGAGAACCTGTTTTATTAAGAACGCAAATGCCAAGCTCGCTGTCCTCAAACCCCCTCCCATAATACCAAATGTTCCACTGAAACCTTACAATGACTGCCCCTCTTGGCTTAGAGATAACCTGCCAACAGTCAGAACCCCTGTAACAGGGATCTCCTTAAATCAGCACTGATATAAAAACAACTACAGAAGGAGAGATGAACAGACTTTATCCACACCAGAGTTGGATTCGAGTGTACACAGATGGTTCAGCCAAAAGAGCAGTAAGAGACTGAGGAGGAGGAATATACATAGAATGCCCAAACGGTTTAAAAATCAACCAGGCTGTACCAACAGGTTCATATTCCTCCAATTACAGAGCAGAGGCAGAAGCATTTCTGGCTGCATGTTCTTTCCTGAATGGACAACAGTACAGCAAATATAGCATAGTGGTCTTTCTGACTGATGCTATGTCAGTTCTACAAGCAATTGTTAACCCAAAAGACACTCAGTTTGTAGACTTGATGCAACAGCTGATTCACCTAAGCTCTTCAGTAGAACAATCTGTACTGCAGTGGATTTCAGGTCACTGTGGCTTGGAAGGCAATGAAATAGTGGACAGATTGGGCAGATGCGGCAGTGACATGGTACAACCAAATAGCGACTTAACCCACCAAGAGACGAAAACATTAAACAATCTAGTATCCAAGAAAGGTGGCTGGATACACACACTAAAAGACTCGCTTCATCACCTCTAGAGAGGGACAGTGTATTATATCAGACTAAGGACTGGGCACAACAGACTTCTTCAACATATGTTCAAACTTTTTGGTGTAGGAAACACGGAGACATCTTCTTCTTCTTCTTCGTTCACCGGAGGTGAATTCCGGCGGAAGGCCCCGGTAATCATCCGTTTGAACTTTTGGCTTTTACCTGGACCTGAGTTTTGCGTGTACAACCTTTTTACTGGCTTTTGTCGTTCCCTTCCTCAGGGGCAGATGTACTCCGACTTCTTGTTTTGGTAGCTAAAGATGAGTATCCATGCCAATGATGGCAGTGGTAACATTATCAGTTCTTGTTATGCCTAGTGGCACATGAGGCTTCAGAGAGGGCTTTCCATGCTTTCCTGTCCTGCGCAATCTTCAGTGCAGTTTTCCATGTCAAAGATGTCGCACTCAGGTCACTTTCCATCGTTCGTCTCCATGTTTTTTTTTGGGCGCCCCTGTTTTCTCTTTCCCTCTTGTGTCCATATGAGAGCTGTTTTGGCGGGTATATCAGGATTCATTCTCATAACGTGGCCAAGCCATTTCCATCTTCTCTTGGTTATCATACTGTCTAAAGTTTCTTGGTTTGTGACTTGCAGTAGTTTAGTATTTGAGATTGTATCTGGCCAGAAAATTTTGATAATTCTACGTAGACATGTGTGGTGGAATGTGGACAGCTTGTGTGCATCCTTTTTTGGTCATTCTCCAGCATTCCGCTCCATAAAGAACTGGCATAATGATGCTCTTGTAGAGTCTGAATTTCGTTCCTCTGCAGTAATTGTTGGATTTCCAGATTTGCCTCATCCTTCCAAAAGCAGCTCTAGCTTTGTTCAGACGTGACTGTATGTCCTCTTTGGTTCCTCCAGGCAGGGACACCACACTGCCAAGATATGTGAAATGTTCTACATTTTCAAGAGTTGGTTTGGACTGCTTGTCATGATCTTAGATTTCTTTGTATTTATTCTCAGTCCCACCATTTCTGCTGTGCTGTGTAGTCTGTTACTTTTCTCTTGTATATGTTCATGTTTATGTGATAGCAGTGCTATATCATCTGCAAAATCAAGGTCCTCAAGCATGGGGAATGGAGTCCATCGTATGCCTCTCAATGTAATGTCTACTGTGTTCTTTAGTATCCAATCAATCACAAGGTTGAAGAGGAGAGATGACATAACACATCCCTGTCTTACACCTGTCTTTACTGGAGAAGATGTATTGTAATTTTTTATACTGCAGTATAAACAATTACAAAAGGTAACATTATCACCATCAGGCTTATCCACAGTTTCCCCCCCCCCCCCTCCCAGCAGGGAGTGAACTAAGATTTCAGCTAATTTATAGGTGAGGAAAGGGTTCTGGCCTTATAAGAATGTTCGGCTATCCTCCGAATAACAGCCACATTATGGTGCCCAAAAACAGGGCCTCAGTTACATGTAAATTGAAGACTTCCAGCGACTATACCGCCACTGCCGAGAGTATCTCCCGGGCTGCTACATACAGCTAAACTAGACAGCTGGGACTCACGAGCAAAGCTGCAGGAGATGTAGAAGCTGCTGCTTGTGAGTCCCAGCCATCTAGTTTAGCCCCACTCCGCGCCTAATGGCGCGGGAGATACTCTCAGCAGTGGTTGTATAGTTGCCGGAAGTCTGCAATCTAAGTCACCGGAAGTCTGCAATTTACATGTGACGGCTCTGTCAGGGTGTGTTTTTGGCCGCCATAATATGTGGCCATTATTCGGAGGATGGCCGAATGTTCTTTTCATGGAAAACATAAAAATGACCCTGACAGAAACAAATGAAGTAGATGATAGTTAGATAACAATAAACAGTGATTAGTGATATATGGGATAGGGCACACATGACAATGGAGGATTGCAGGGAATATACGTTTATATAGCAACCAGTGACAGGATCAGTTTCGAGTTTAAGGGGGTAGGCTGCTTCACCTGGGGACATATAAAAGGGTAAAAGAAACAGGGACATAATGCAATCCAAAGCAAAACTACCAAATCAAACCTACAGGCGCCTGATAATTAGGATTTTAAAAATACTTTCCTAGATCAGACAGGATCAGGGCTTGTTTTTTTTTTTTTTTTTTGACGGTAGGTCCGTACCGGGTACCGTTACGCAGTTGGTTGGGTTCAGTTTCCGTACCTGTTGTTGAACAGGCATTGCGCACTCTTACTGTTGTAAATAATGCTCTTTGCTGTGAGTACAGACCCCCCCCCCCCCCGCCCCCTCCTTTTTTGGATACTGTGGTAACCACCGGCATCTTTTTCCACTGGGGGAAAACCTACCCCAGGGATTTTCTCCCGACACCCATGGCAGGGCTTTAAGTGACAGTGAGCGACCCACTGTTGGTTGGACTAGGTGATAGGTGGAAATATGAGGCCCAATAATCATGTATTCGTTTATTTTCATACCTGAGTAACGAAGCAAGTTCTTTAACTGTTAGCGCCATGTAGAAACTGTAATTTCTGTTTTCAACAGAAGACGGTCAACCTGACAGTTAACATAAAGTAATCTTAAAACAGCCCGTTGTTAGAAACCGTCATCGGTCTCAGATCTCAGGTTTGAAGAAACAAGAGAGGAATAGCAACTTTTGCCAGATAGGTTTCTGAGTAAACACTAAATGACACCTTTACTTTTGCGTGAGATAATGAGCTGTATTTTACTGTTACGTAATTTTTATGTCTCTATATTTAAAATTAGAGACAAAACATAATTATTTATATATTTTTAATAAGATTAACTGAAAAATTAAACAATTAAAACGTCCTTATTCTGGTTTGATCTGAGAAATAACCTGGCAAATAAGGAAGATAATCAAAATAAAGATGGCTGGGGCGAGGCAAGGTTTCCTCCACTTCTTTGCAAAAGACAGGGTACTCTTGTGTTCTTTTGTGACTTTAAATATTTTATTTACGTATGATAGTAAGTGACTGACACATTTAGTTTTCTGAAACCTTCTTTTTCCCTCCATATGTTATCCTAAATAATGTCACGGATTACTTCCGTTTTTATGAGTCATGCCATCAAAGTTTTTTTTTTTTATTACAATGTTGTTACGTTAAAATGATTCAACAGTCACTTGGTTCTCACAAGTCGGCTATCTTCTGAATAACGGTCCCGAATTATTGAGGCCGAAAATGTACACAAACAGGGCCTCAGTCACATGTAAATTCCGAACTTTCGGCGACTTAAATTTCGCACTTCCAGAGACAACCTCCCACCACCGAGAGTATCTCAGTAAATGTAATAATCTCCCAGGGACCGTGTCACCGTTATTTCGGAAGATGGCCCACAAGTCTTCTTGCTGCTCTTAAAGCATTCAATATATAATAATAAGAAAAACTTCACAGGGAAGCATGCACAGCAGGGGTCTACCAGTCTTCAGTAGAAAATTCTTATCAACAGTTGTTTCGGCCTGTTACTTATTCTAAATAATTTCAAAAGGTGGGCCAACCTAGTTCATGAAGCCAGGCCCTAGTACTTCCCTGCTGCACTCGATGGAACAACGTACTCTTCGGACATGACAAGACGATGGTGTAATCAGTAGGTAACTGGTGAGAAGATTCAGTTCATTGTTGCAGAGCTTTTGTTCACGCTGCGGCAGCGAGTCTACCTGTGGTCGAGTAGCAAGCGAGATGGTTGGACGCACACTACCGCCCCTATAGTATGCTTGCACTGTAGAGACAGCAGGCTGCGCTGCGGTCGGACAAATATATATATAGTAGTCTTACCTGCATGTCTATCAGCATGCTTATCTCCCTGCGTGTCCTGGCACAAAAATGAAACACCTTTGTCTTCTCGATCGCCCCAGAGACAGTGTCACTCTGAAACTAACCACTTTGTCTAAATCCAGCCCATCTTCCTAAAAAATACTTGTCCACTTCTTCTTCTTTCGTTCGCCTGAAATAAGTTGTCTATATCACCAGTTTTGTCTCTTGTACAAATTTAACTGTTGTTGTTGTTGTTGTCCACTGATTTATAGTATATGTTGTGTTAGCTGGACTTTTTTTTTCAAAAACAACCTTGACTCCCAAGTTGACCCAGCCTTGAGTCCTGGAAAGTAAAGGCAGCCGGCGTGATGCTGACCACATCACCCTGCAAGTGTCGATTGGCCTATACAAATATAGGTTTAGCCCTGTATTTCCAATATGCCTAAAGGTCTTGAAAAGGGACCTTCACTTTTTTTTTTTAACTTTAAACATTGTATTATATTAAGGTCTAAACATTTGCTTGATTCCTTATACTGAGAATGAAAGAAAAATGTTTAATCTAACATGTTTTTGTCTCTATATTTTAGACATTCAAACCCAAGAAAAGATTTGAAAGTGGCACATTGAAATATAATCTTCATAAACAAGCCAATGCCTCACTGAATTCTGGGATTGACTTGAAAGAAGTGGTTAAACTTCCTTCTGGAGAGGATGTCAATGACTGGATTGCTGTCCACGGTTAGATTTATGAATTTACTTTTCAAAATCTGCAATTTTTATAACCATGCATTTTTTTTATTACTCATTTGCTTGTTTTTCTCATTTGCAAAAAAATGTTGAGTGTTAACTAAAAACTGATGTCACAGCACATGGGGCAATCCCATGAGCTCTCTGTCCTAATCTTCAGCAGTCAGCTGAGAATTTGAATCCTAATGGGGCCAGTAGTAATTTGATTATATTTCCATCTTGCCTGTCTTCTGAGTATAGTTTCAACCAAAACCCCTGGTCACTCCTAGCCGTAGCAGCGTCAGTGGCTTAGGCATTGCGAGTCCGACTCGTAATCCAACACACCGCGATCGAAACCCACTGCTGGCTTCATGGATTTTACCATGATATGGGGCGTAAAATGGGTACTAAGATGTATGTGCTGGTGAAGTAATGATGACTACATTACCCACCTAGTGCCGATTGGTCTGAAAAATATGGGTGCTCTTCCCATATGCCCGATGCGCCTAAAGGTGTGAAAAGGGATCTTTTCTTGTTTTTACTTACTTACTCCTAGCTGAACTATTCTCTCCAGACCATAGCGATACAACAAAATAATGTTAGGTAAGGTAAGTAACAAACTTAGCCATTTATACCATTGTGGTATTAATTGGGGACTTTTTGTTAGATCTGTATTTTCCACAACCTTAAAAGGGAGTGCCTTGGTGTTTGCGGCTAGACACCCAACTGCAGATTGGAAGCTCGTGGGTTCGTGTACTGACGGAGCCGGACTATTAGTTTTATTTAAGATTGCCTTGACTCCCAGGTCAACCCGGCTTTGAGTGGGTACCAGGTGCAATTGAGAATTTAATCTATTTCTAATCCCTACAAATGTGTGTGTGAATACATTTTCTTTTTTTATTCAAGATAAATTAATGTACATTTTCAGTCTGAGATGACATAATTTGTTTTAATACTGTTATAGTTAGTAGGAAAAAGAATTCAGCAGGCATTATATTTACAAAGACAAAAATGTTACCTAAAACTTCTTCACTTACCACAGTTTTGCAGCCACAAGAGCAGTGAATGTCCACATTTAAGAATAACACTTTAAAGTTTGTTCAGTTTCCTAACAAATTCAAAAGTTATGAGATGTTTCTGGGTTAGTTTCTCATTCAGAGGCTCTATGTTCTCATAGAGGCTGAACAAAATTTCAAAGAAAACAAAACAGAAAATTTGACCTATAATCCTAAACACACAAACTATTGACTTTGTAGTTCTAAACAAATTGGTAGCTGCAATAATTTCAATGCAGCTTAGCCACAGAATGAGTATGGTACTGCCTGAAACTCTGGATGCGAATGTCCCCATCTTCCAGTAGCATTCTGATTAAACGTCCGTCTTGCCCTTCCTTTGAGCCTTGAGCATCTGCCAGAACCTCTCGTCACTCCCTCCCTGCATCAATCTCACCAGACAATATTTATGAATAACAAAATGAAAGCTGTGAGACTCTCTGTCTGTCTCTCTGTCTTTCTTTTCTGCTTTTTCTTCTTTATAATCTTAGATGCTTCTTTTGTGTTCATCTACATTGGGTGTGTATTTTGTTCTTTTATTTTAGTGGTGGACTTCTTCAACCGAATTAATCTGCTGTATGGCACTATATTTGAGCATTGTACAGAACAGAGTTGCCCCACCATGTCTGGTGGTCCTAAGTAAGTCTGGCCTTGCCATTCATTTTCTTTTGTCAAGGTGATTGCATCCATTTTAATCAGATCTGTGATATCTATGTCTTTTAGTTGGCTAATGATGACAGCGGAGCTTAAACTGCTGTCATGGTTTTGTAAAGATCTCAGAATACTGAGCATGTACAGTACATTGTTTGTTGAGGAGATGTTGCTCCAGCCAATGGTCGTAATCTGTTCCACCCGTCCAGGGAGAGTAGGCAGCCATCCCACAGGCCCACATCAGACATCTGATCGCATCCATGCTCAGGAGATGCCAGTCACTGGTCCACCGAGAGGCCACACACCAAACTTAGTGGAAAATTGTCGCGACCCATATCCTCCCAAAAAATGTGTTAATTGTTTGGTGGAACCCTAAGGCATTGCATGAAATTCAAGTAATGTCAGTGATTGCATTACAAAGATGCAGAATGTAAAAATTGTGAATACATGTTCCTTTCAGTAGATATGCAAAATACATTGTTTTTTTACCTCAAGTGCTGCCAAGACACCATAGACAAGATTATTTGTTTTTCACCAGTACAGCTCTGATGAAAGGTGAAGCCTTATTACAAACTTTTCAGAACAGAATTTCATGACAAATCTTGGACGTATCAGAAGTTAAAACAGCAGAGAAAGAAGATAAGATGCAGCAACAGAATTCACAATCTATTTAAATCACCACTAATTACTGGGGTCATAAGGCTAATTGACTGCATTGTTTGGGGCATAAGAAGAGAATGGCAGATAACAGAGAGACAAAAACTGTTTACAAAAGAGTTGCATAGAAGTAGACCATGAGGCAAAATAAGAAGACTGGAGAAATGATAAACTAACAGACTAACAAACACTTGGAGCTACTGACTAAAGTTTGCAAAGCTTATTTGAATTGTTTTCTGTGCTTGTTCAGAGCAATTTTGCAAATCTAGAGACCTTAGTGTTGTCTGTCTTTCTTTTTTGTTGCTACCATATCATCTGTAGTTTCACAATGTTTGCATTTTGTTTGTAGATATGAGTACCATTGGTGTGATGGGGTCAACTACAAGAAACCAACAGCTCTCCCTGCCCCCCAATACATCACCTTGCTCATGGAGTGGGTCGAGGCACAGATCAATGATGAGAACTTATTCCCCATCCAGCTGGGTGAGTGGGTAACATAGCTTTGTTCATGGCAAATTATACCTTCATGCATGTGTTACGCTGTTAAATTGATTAAATGGATTTGAACCTATTATTGTTACATTTCCTAAAATGATCCATTAATCCCTTTGGCCCATAAATGCTTTTAAAAAAGGCAGGAACCTGCAGGAATTACTGAAAGATAATTCCTTTTTTTTTATGTGACACGCCGCTAATAAATTTTTTTATTTTTTATTTTAGAGAAAAAAATACATTAAAAAAATATTAGGGAAATAATGAATAAACTTGAACAAAGTGAAGCTTTAAAATGGAATACGTTTCCTGAAGCATAAAAAAAGGGTATCGAGCAAGTCCTACCGTGACCATGACCTTGTCAAAATTCTAACACGGCTTTTTTTTTTTAAGAATGGCCTTTTTTTTTTTTTTTTTTTAAACTTTTTATAATAAATAACCAGAAGAAAAAGCAGAAGAAATTTAGATTTTTGATCAGTTTTAAAAAAAAATCCGTATGCTGGAACCTCAAGACCACAAGCAGATGGACAAGCGCAAAGTCCACATTTTCATTGCGGTTTCAAGTAGCTAAAATAATAATTTTTTCAAGCCGCCGTTATTCACTGTATCAGCCGCTGTTAGTCCTTATATCAGCTACTGTTAGTCACTGTATCAGCCGCTGTTAGTCCTTATATCAGCTACTGTTAGTTACTATATCAGCCACTGTTAGTCATTATATCAGCTACTGTTAGTTACTATATCAGCCGCTGTTAGTCCTTATATCAGCTACTGTTAGTTACTATATCAGCCACTGTTAGTCATTATATCAGCCTCTGTTAGCTACTACATCAGTTACTGTTAGTCACTATATCAGTTACTGTTAGTCACTGTATCAGCCGCTGTTAGTTAACTATATCAGTTACTGTTAGTTACTGTATCAGCCGCTGTTAGTTACTATATCAGCTGCTGTTAGTTACTATATCAGCTACAGTTAGTTACTATATCAGCCACTGTTAGTTACTACATCAGTTACTGTTAGTCACTATATCAGCCACCATAGTTACTAAATCAGCTACAGTTAGTTACTATATCAGCTACAGTTAGTTACTATATCAGCTGCTGTTAGTTACTATATCAGCTACAGTTAGTTACTATATCAGCTACTGTTAGTTACTATATCAGCTACTGTTAGTTACTTTATCAGCTGCTGTTAGTTACTATATCAGCTACAGTTAGTTACTATATCAGCTACAGTTAGTCACTAAATCAGCCACTGTTAGTCACTGTATCAGCCGCTGTTAGTTAACTATATCAGTTACTGTTAGTCACTATACCAGCCACTGTTAGTCACTATACCAGCCACTGTTAGTCACTGTATCAGCCGCTATTAGTTAACTATGTCAGTTACTGTTAATCACTATATCAGCCACTGTTAGTCACTGTATCAGCCGCTGTTAGTTACTTTATCAGCCGCTGCTTGTCGTTATATCAGCTGCTGTTGGTTATTACATCAGTTGCTGTTAGTCATTATATCAGCCTCTGTTAGCTACTACATCAGTTACTGTTAGTCACTATATCAGTTACTGTTAGTCACTGTATCAGCCGCTGTTAGTTAACTATATCAGTTACTGTTAGTCACTGTATCAGCCGCTGTTAGTTAACTATATCAGTTACTGTTAGTCACTGTATCAGCCGCTGTTAGTTAACTATATCAGTTACTGTTAGTCACTATATCAGCCACTGTTAGTCACAGTATCAGCCGCTGTTAGTTACTTTATCAGCCGCTGCTTTTCGTTATATCAGCTGCTGTTGGTTATTACATCAGTTGCTGTTAGTCACTATATCAGCCACTGTTAGTCACTATATCAGCCACTGTTAGTCACTATATCAGCCGCTGTTAGTTACTATATCAGCCACTGTTAGTCACTATATCAGCCGCTGTTAGTTACTATATCAGCTGCTGTTAGTTACTATATTAGCTGCTGTTAGTTACTATATCAGCTACAGTTAGTTACTATATCAGCCACTGTTAGTTACTATATCAGCTACAGTTAGTTACTATATCAGCCACTGTTAGTTACTACATCAGTTACTGTTAGTCACTATATCAGCCACCATAGTTACTAAATCAGCTACAGTTAGTTACTATATCAGCTACAGTTAGTTACTATATCAGCTGCTGTTAGTTACTATATCAGCTACAGTTAGTTACTATATCAGCTACTGTTAGTTACTATATCAGCTACAGTTAGTTACTATATCAGCTACAGTTAGTTACTATATCAGCTACTGTTAGTTACTATATCAGCTACAGTTAGTTACTATATCAGCTTCTGTTAGTTACTTTATCAGCTGCTGTTAGTTACTATATCAGCTACAGTTAGTTACTATATCAGCTACTGTTAGTTACTATATTAGCTACAGTTAGTTACTATATCAGCTGCTGTTAGTTACTATATCAGCTACTGTTAGTTACTATATCAGCTACAGTTAGTTACTATATCAACTACAGTTAGTTACTATATCAGCTGCTGTTAGTTACTATATCAGCTGCTGTTAGTTACTATATCAGCTACTGTTAGTTACTATATCAGCTGCTGTTAGTTACTATATCAGCTACAGTTAGTTACTATATCAGCTACAGTTAGTTACTATATCAGCTGCTGTTAGTTACTATATCAGCTACAGTTAGTTACTATATCAGCTACAGTTAGTTACTATATCAGCTACTGTTAGTTACTATTTCAGCTGCTGTTAGTTACTATATCAGTTTCTGTTAGTTACTATATCAGCTGCTGTTAGTTACTATATCAGCCACTGTTAGTTACTACATCAGTTACTGTTAGTTACTATATCAGCTACTGTTAGTTACTACATCAGTTACTGTTAGTTACTATATCAGCTGCTGTTAGTTACTATATCAGCCGCTGTTAGTTACTATATCAGCCGCTGTTAGTTACTATATCAGCCACTGTTAGTCACTATATCAGCCGCTGTTAGTCACTATATCAGCCGCTGTTAGTTACTATATCAGCTGCTGTTAGTTACTATATCAGCTGCTGTTAGTTACTATATCAGCTACAGTTAGTTACTATATCAGCCACTGTTAGTTACTATATCAGCTACAGTTAGTTACTATATCAGCCACTGTTAGTTACTATATCAGCCGCTGTTAGTTACTATATCAGCTGCTGTTAGTTACTATATCAGCTGCTGTTAGTTACTATATCAGCTACAGTTAGTTACTATATCAGCCACTGTTAGTTACTACATCAATTACTGTTAGTCACTATATCAGCCACCATAGTTACTAAATCAGCTACAGTTACTATATCAGCTACAGTTAGTTACTATATCAGCTGCTGTTAGTTACTATATCAGCTACAGTTAGTTACTATATCAGCTACTGTTAGTTACTATATCAGCTACTGTTAGTTACTTTATCAGCTGCTGTTAGTTACTATATCAGCTACAGTTAGTTACTATATCAGCTACAGTTAGTTACTATATCAGCTGCTGTTAGTTACTTTATCAGCTGCTGTTAGTTACTATATCAGCTACAGTTAGTTACTATATCAGCTACAGTTAGTTACTATATCAGCTGCTGTTAGTTACTTTATCAGCTGCTGTTAGTTACTACATCAATTACTGTTAGTCACTATATCAGCCACCATAGTTACTAAATCAGCTACAGTTACTATATCAGCTACAGTTAGTTACTATATCAGCTGCTGTTAGTTACTATATCAGCTACAGTTAGTTACTATATCAGCTACTGTTAGTTACTATATCAGCTACTGTTAGTTACTTTATCAGCTGCTGTTAGTTACTTTATCAGCTGCTGTTAGTTACTATATCAGCTACAGTTAGTTACTATATCAGCTACAGTTAGTTACTATATCAGCTACTGTTAGTTACTATATCAGCTACAGTTAGTTACTATATCAGCTGCTGTTAGTTACTTTATCAGCTGCTGTTAGTTACTATATCAGCTACAGTTAGTTACTATATCAGCTACAGTTAGTTACTATATCAGCTGCTGTTAGTTACTATATCAGCTGCTGTTAGTTACTATATCAACTGCTGTTAGTTACTAAATCAGCTACAGTCAGTTACTATATCAGTTACTGTTAGTTACTATATCAGCTACTGTTAGTTACTATATCAGTTACTGTTAGTTACTATATCAGCTGCTGTTAGTTACTATATCAGCTACTGTTAGCTACTATATCAGCTGCTGTTAGTTACTTTATCAGCTACTGTTAGTTACTACATCAGTTACTGTTAGTTACTATATCAGCTACTGTTAGTTACTATATCAGTTACTGTTAGTTACTATATCAGCTGCTGTTAGTTACTATATCAGCTACTGTTAGCTACTATATCAGCTGCTGTTAGTTACTTTATCAGCTACTGTTAGTTACTAAATCAGCTACAGTCAGTTACTATATCAGTTACTGTTAGTTACTATATCAGTTACTGTTAGTTACTATATCAGCTGCTGTTAGTTACTATATCAGCTGCTGTTAGTTACTATATCAGTTTCTGTTAGTTACTATATCAGCTACTGTTAGCTACTATATCAGCTGCTGTTAGTTACTTTATCAGCTACTGTTAGTTACTAAATCAGCTACAGTCAGTTACTATATCAGTTACTGTTAGTTACTATATCAGTTACTGTTAGTTACTATATCAGCTGCTGTTAGTTACTATATCAGCTGCTGTTAGTTACTATATCAGCTACTGTTAGTTACTATATCAGTTTCTGTTAGTTACTTTATCAGCCGCTGTTAGTTACTATATCAGCTACTGTTAGTTACTATATCAGCCACTGTTAGTTACTACATCAGTTACTGTTAGTTACTATATCAGCTACTGTTAGTTACTACATCAGTTACTGTTAGTTACTATATCAGCTGCTGTTAGTTACTATATCAGCTGCTGTTAGTTACTATATCAGCTACTGTTAGCTACTATATCAGCTGCTGTTAGTTACTTTATCAGCTACTGTTAGTTACTAAATCAGCTACAGTCAGTTACTATATCAGTTACTGTTAGTTACTATATCAGTTACTGTTAGTTACTATATCAGTTACTGTTAGTTACTATATCAGCTGCTGTTAGTTACTATATCAGCTGCTGTTAGTTACTACATCAGCTGCTGTTAGTTACTATATCAGTTACTGTTAGTTACTATATCAGTTACTGTTAGTTACTATATCAGCTGCTGTTAGTTACTATATCAGTTTCTGTTAGTTACTTTATCAGCCGCTGTTAGTCACTGTATTGAGAAAGGGTATTTTTCCGTTAACGAAAATAATCACAAAATAAGAGTGGAGCAAAGAATTAACTGCTTCTCTTTCCTTTGACCGTAAAATACAGTCCTACCCACCTTGTCTTCACACTGTGCAGTTGTAACCAACATTGTTAGATAGGTGTAGTGGTGACTGCCCAAAGATATGTCATTAAAAACTTATAAAAGTTAAAAAATTGTCTCTCTCAGGGCGACAGGGTGAAAGGGTTTTATAAAAAAGGTGTTGGACAGAACTGTATATAATAAACCCAGGCTCCCCGCATGGTTTCTGAGGCCCTAATGTGGAGGATGAGAACAGCAGAGACTACCTGCCTCCTTAATAAGCATGTAAGAGTCGACTAGGGGTTTTCTTCAAAGTCGGAGTGCATCTGCCTAAGAGGCAAGGAACCAGCAGTCTGCATACACATAGGCCAAAACTGTAACACATATGTGCACACAACACTCTAGTTCCCCCCCCCCCTCCCCCTTTTAAAAAGAAAGGACTAAAGTCCAGAAGTGGATGAACAACCAGAACTTTCAGCTGGAGTTTACAGCCAGTGAACACGAAGAAGAAGAACCCAATCCGTTCAGTTTGTCCAACGTCTCTGTAATATTCCTCAAAGTATAGAAACTGGTTGTTTACTTTCCCTGTATGGGATCCTGGACCCCATTGTGGGGTAAACAAGATTAGACCCACGGCTTCCTCAACAAGCTTGTCAAAGTGCATCTGCCCGAGCGGCAAGGAACAACCAACTGTGCACAAATACGCCATTGAAACTGATGTACACACAAAAATTAGGTCCTGGCACAAAGCCAAAGCCCAAATAGGCAAACGACCAGGACTTTCTGCTGGAGCTTACAGCCAGTGAACAAAGAAGAAGAAGAATATGTTGTTAACTAATCCAAACAAAATAACAAATTCATGAGTCTTGTGCCATTGTTTATGTCTACAGGTAGACCGTTTCCAAAGAACTACATGAGCATAGTCAAAAAGATCTTAAAGAGATTGTTTCGTGTTTTTGTCCATGTTTATATCCATCACTTTGACAAATTGTTAGCTATCGGAGCGGTAAGTTACCTGAATTGTTTTAGAAAAATGATGTTACTGGGTCATTAATTGTAATATATCTACCACTTGCATATATGATTAGGTTTGGGATAATTAAATATCTATAATATACTTGTTGCTCTTGAAGCGTTAAACATATATCACTTTGATATACTTGTAGTTCTTGAAGCATTAATTTTTTATCCTTCAAAGTCAGAGTGCATCTGCCTGAGAGGCTAAAAACCAGCGGTCTGAATACAAATGAGTCAGATCTGTAAAACCGATGCACACACAACGCTCAGGTTCTGGAACAGGACTGCAGTCCAGAAGTGGATGATCAACCAGAACTTTCCGCCAGAGTTTACAGCTGGTGAACATGAAAAAGAAGAAGATATACGTTTAGTTGTTGGACAATTAATATCCATCACTCTGATATACTTCTAGTTGCTGTAGTATTAAATATCCATCACTTTGACAAATATTTAGTTATCTGAATGGTAAATTACTTTGATAATTATTATTATTATTTTTTTTTTACTATTGGATCATAAAGTATAAAAAATCTATTGCTTGGATATGTGTTTAAATATGAGAGAAATAAATTAATATCACTTTGATATACCTTTAGTTCTTGGAGCATTAAATAACTGTCATTTTAATTTACTTTTAGTTAAAGCATAAAACTTGTATCACTTTATACACTTTTAGTTGTCGGAGTATTAAATATCTGTCACTTTGAAATACTTTTAGCTCCTGAAGCATTAAACAGCTATCACCTTGAAATAGGTTTAGCTCATGGAGCATTACATATCTGTCACTCTGAAGTACTTTTAAGTTTTGGAGCATTATATATCTATCATCACATCATCAGTTCTCGTTATGCCTAGTGGCACATGAGGCTTCAGAGAGGACTTTCCATGCTTTCCTGTCCTGTGCAATCTTCAGTGCAGTTTTCCATGTCAAAGATGCCGCACTCAGGTCACTTTCCATCGTTCGTCTCCATGTTGTTTTTGGGTGCCTCTGTTTTCTCTTTCCCTCTGGTGTCCATGTGTCCATATTTATCACTTTTAAATAATTTAGGCTCTTGAAGCATTAAATATTTATCATTTTGATATATTTGTAGCTCTTAAAGAATTACACATGTATCACTTTTATATATTTTAGTTGCCGGATCGTTAAATACCTATCCCTTTAATATACTTGTAATTCTTGGAACATTACATAAATATAACGTTTTTATGTGTCTTGTAGGAAGCTCATGTGAATACTTGCTATAAGCATTTCTACTATTTTGTCACTGAGTACAATCTGATTGACAAGAAAGAACTTGAACCACTGGTATGTTTTATCAAACTAATTTAGATTTACTGTTTAATTTACTGTTTACATAGCGATGACTGCACAGTTTATTTGTCTGGCATGTTTCTCTATATCTTATCCTGTGCATTACTATAGAATTTACATCAACATATGAGGAAACACAAAACATGAATCCTGTTAGCTGATATACACAAGTCATATTGTCTTTTGTTATATTGTACTAAGACTTAGTCAAGGTTTCAACATAGTGAAGGTTTCAACATAGTCAAGGTTTCAACATAGTCAAGGTTTCAACATAGTCAAGGTTTCAACATAGTCAAGGTTTCAGCATAGTCAAGGTTTCAACATAGTCAAGGTTTCAACATAGTCAGGGTTTCAACATAGTCAAGGTTTCAGCATAGTCAAGGTTTCAACATAGTCAAGGTTTCAACATATTCAATATTTCAACATAGTCAGGGTTTCAGCATAGTCAAGGTTTCAGCATAGTCAAGGTTTCAACATAGTCAAGGTTTCAACATAGTCAAGGTTTCAACATAGTCAAGGTTTCAACATAGTCAAGGTTTCAACATAGTCAAGGTTTCAACATAGTCAAGGTTTCAACATAGTCAGGGTTTTAACATAGTCAGGGTTTCAACATAGTCAAGGTTTCAGCATAGTCAAGGTTTCAACATAGTCAGGGTTTCAACATAGTCAAGGTTTCAACATAGTCAAGGTTTCAGCATAGTCAAGGTTTCAGCATAGTCAAGGTTTCAACATAGTCAAGGTTTCAGCATAGTCAAGGTTTCAACATAGTCAAGGTTTCAACATAGTCAAGGTTTCAGCATAGTCAAGGTTTCAACATAGTCAAGGTTTCAACTTAACTGCAATCTGTTTTCGCCATACTTACTCCGTTCCTGTGACAGTGCGAATCAAATTAAATGTCCCTCACTGTCTTATTTGAAAAACTGGTAAACAAACAACTAGTGCCGGAACATTTAGAAATATGTTGACACAGTAAATGTGTATTTCATTTGCTAGGCTAGAAGCGCTGAAGCCAACAGTTGTCACCAGAAATGCAGTTTGTCGTTGGTGGAAGCAGTCGGGCACGATAAGTTGGCTATACACACATACAATTATTACATAAGGTATTTCACCAACTTACACGTAAACCAGCTACGGGCCATATTGAATACCACGATACAGTCACTGCACAAATGAAAGGCATTCCACGGGAAAAATACAGCTCATGGGGCTACACCAAGAACTAAACCCATTAGCTCACACAGCGAAAGCATAGACTACCATCCATGTGTGTAAATTGCATTAGCAAAGCATTATTGGAAGCAAAAATAACTTTGAAGCTTAATATTTTGCCATGCCTAATCCTCCATTTTAGACCTGACATATTGTACATCACAGCATGGAAGTCTAAGATTAACCATGTGATCCTTTTGTTTTCAGAACTCAGGATGACAATGTCAAAAACAAAATGATGCACTATGTTGTCTTCTGAATATTTAAATTCAGTACGGAAAAACTGTTTTGAATAATGTTTATTGTACCTTTCTTCACCCATATTGTAGATGGCTGATGATTAGCATCCCCTGCTGAAGTTTGTTTCATATTCTAGAATGTTGATTGTTGAATTAGGAATTGACATCATAGCACTCGGGACACCCCCATAAGTGCTGTACCCCATTTTTACCAGCAAATGAAGAGTTCCAATTCCGATGGCACCAGTAACTGTCTGATTGTATATCCGTTTTGCCCTTTCCTTGAGTGTTGAGACCCGGCCAGATCCCCTGGTAACTCCTTGCGTTCCCATTCTCCTCACGTAATTATCTGTTTGTGCCTCCATGCTGTTCACTCACTCCCATAGGGCCCTCACAACGCCTAGATTGTCATACATCAGATCACCACCAAGTGGTGCAGAACCGGCCAGTCTATCTGCCTGCTCATTTCGCAACACACCGGCATTACCTGGAGAGAATATCCAAAGGATACTAACTTACCCGGGACCTCTGAAGTGATGCCTGCCATATTCTAGGTAGTTGGAGAACTTTATGAATCTGAATCTATTCCAAACCTCAGAATTCACTGAGTGCCTTACCACATGGCACATACATACATTCTGTTGATGGTGGTTCTTTACACAGTCTGAGGCCATCCAGCTTAATCTGTCATAGTGTGCCTCTCCTGCAGCTGCTGATCTTTTCTGTCACGATGTTCACCTGCTACATAGACATTATGGTATATTGCACTTATCACAAACATCAGAAATAGACAGTCATCATTTTTCTGTCAAGTTATAAGATACGGGAAAATGGAACATGTTGTGACTACTGGAAAGATCTGAGCAAAAAGAGACAGAGGAAGACACTGTGAAAAGATTCTTGACAGTCTTTTGTTATGGCTTGGAAGGGGTGTCAATACACGAACTGTTGCAGGCAGTTGCAGATCACAGATTATATAAAGGCGTGATCGCCCACGCGAGGCGGCAAGGCACTTGATGATAATGATATTGCACCAGGCGACTTTTTTTTTTGTTTTTGATTATGATCAGTTGATGGTTTTGAAATCAGTTTTAAGTGATAAGCTGTTTTGATTAGCTTTTTCCTGAGTTTCAGTGCTGCAGTGTGTCTCACTGTTACAATTCATTTTTGTTTTCAGTCATGAAATGGATTTTCTGCCTCAGTTTTCAGCTGATTTTTTTTTTTCTTCTCTTACTTTCTTCTTCTTCTTTGCATTCATCGGCTGTAAACTCTGGTGGACAGTTCTGGTTGTTTATCCACTTCTGAGCTTGTATCAGAACTTGAGTTTTGTGTGCACGTCCATGTTTGCAAATCTGGCTTATTTGTAAGCAGACTGTTGGTTCCTTGTCTCGCAGGCTCTTCTGACCCCCCCCCCCCCTTTTTTTTCGCACTATTTTTAAACAATACGCTGAAATTTAAATGTAAAATAAGACATACTTTAAGTATTACATTTATCTGCGGTGACTTCTTTGCTTCACGGTTATGATTATCATCATTAAGTGCCTTGCTGACTAGCTTGGGCCATCATGCCTCTCCACAATCTGCGTTTGGAAACTGCATCTATCAGTTTGTGTGTTGACATCCTTGCATGCAGTGACAAAAGGCTGTCAAGAATCTTCTCTCCCTGTCTTCCTCTGTCTGTCCTTTTTTAGATCTTTCCATTGGTCATGTTCCAGTTTCCCTCTTCTCAAAGAATCACCAAAAAATGATGATTGTCTCTCTCTGATGTTTGTGATAATTTGTCTTTGATCACTCACCTCTTATCTCAATTGTGATTATACTAAAACTGTTTTTCTTGATTACATTTTCAGAAGGACATGACTGAGAGAATTTGCCACTGAGATTGGGAGATACACATGATATCCAATTTTCTTCTGTCCAGTTCTATTGCCAGTAAAGGATGAAAACCAGTCTGTGCCTACTGATTGTTAAAAACATTATAGAATTAACTGCTTGCTAGAAATCGTTGCTGTTTTCCCTGTACATATCATAGGGGTCTAGCTCAGGGGTCATGAAAAATATTGTAAACTTAAAGGTGCTGTTTGTTATTTAATATCATTTGACAATCTGAAGGTAATTTACTTGTCATAGACAGTTAAAAAACAAATTCAGGAGTATTCATCTGGTGGCCCGTTAACCAAATCTGGCCGGTAGAGGCTTGGCAAGTGGTCAGCCAATCATTTCCAGTTGTTTTGTATTAATGATCTTTCTGTGCTATGGGTCGGGCCTCCTAGCCCATGGCGATAGCGCATTTCAAAATGTTGGTCCCTGAGTAAACTTAATTGAATAGCCCTGCACTAAGGTATTGACATCTGCAACTGTTGAAGATCAATTATCAAAATCGTGAAAAGAGATCCTTTTTTGTTCAGAATTACATTATTCTTTGTATCATTGACTTCGTATTATTTTCCACTTTACATTGGATATTTGTAGTGTTCCATTTACACCAAGATCTCTGAAATCTGAAAGAGTAGATATCTTTTTAGTTTTGTGTAACTTCTTTGTAAAAGTGAATCTTGGACAGATTAGTGAGAAATTGTGTTGGAGCAGAAGCGATTTGGTTGATAGATGACTGATGAGAATATCCTGGACAGAAAAAAGAGTAATGAAGATGTCTTGAAAGAAGTTCACTCACAAATGGAACTGATTACCCACATCAGAAGGAAATAATCTTATGTTCTTTGATCACATCATGAGAGAACAATTGGACCACACCATGATAATGGGAAAGCTTAGAGCTGAAAATAGCCAGATGGAGACTGAGAAGGAAGAAAACCTTACTTACCACAGACTGAAAGGGAAAATCAAAGCATTGTTTCCCCAATGTGAATTTGAACAAAGAAGACACAAGCAATAGACTGCACAATTTATTGCCTGGCATATTTCACTGTATCTCGTCAGGTGCATACTACAGTAAGAAGTGATTAAAATGAAACAAATAGCTGAATCCTAGAAACATACACAAATTCGAGTACATTCTACACTGTCTGTTTCACCAAGGTAACCATAAGGAAACGACCATTTCTTTCTGCCTACAGAGATCTGGTTTAAACTGGCTGATCGCGGAAGCTTCCGCGTATCGGAGTAATCTACGGTTGGCCGAATTGTAAATAAATGAGAGGGAAAAAGCAGAAGCTGAGATGTTAAGAACTGCAGGTCTTACACAATCACTGGTCAGAATTATAAGAATAAAGGGAAAAGATTTTTCTGTATGTTATAACATTTTGTATTCTCCAGGGTATCAGCAGCTCGATATTTTTGGTTGCAAGTTACTAACAATTAATATTCATTTTTTTCTATTTACATTGTTTGCTATAACTGAGGTCAGTTTCAACACACCCATCCATCCAAGTATGTGCTCACTCTGAAAGAGGCATTACTGCTGTCTTCTATCTACTTTTTAAATGTATAGATTATTATTGCATTTTCTGATATATTGATTTACTATCTTTCTCTCTCACCCATTCATCTCTGTCTTATACATCTCTCTCTCTCTCTCTCTCTCTCTCTCTCTCTCTCTCTCTCTCTATCTCTATCTCTCTCTCTCTCTCTCTCTCTCTCTCTCTGCCTACCTTTGCCTCACCGCCTTTCCTCTCCTACCTTTTTTCAACATCCATCTCTCTCTCTCCCCTTTCCAACTTTTACTACTGTTGTAATTAATGTTTTTCTTTTCTGCCATAATCTGCTATGATTTTCTGCCTGCTGCCCTGGTTTCAAGTTATTCAACAAACACATCTGTTTAACTAATATTGTTTTACTTTAATTACTTTTAAAGAAAAAAAAAGAATATGCCAAACACGGGCTGATTGAAGTTTTCCATGTCTGCAATCTGGTCTGCATTGGATTTAATACTTAAACATTTTTTTATTCATGTATTTCCTAAATACTTAAAGACCAATATTTGGGGCCAGTATTTTCAAGATTTAATAATAGGAAATCTTCTATAAAAACTGTTTTGTTCTGTCCTGGCTATTCATTTCACTGATTAAACAGTTAGTGGTAACTTGGTGGTCCAAAGGGCACAGTAATACAGGACTAGATACATTTTTTTCTGTATATAATGTCAGTATAGTTTGTAAACCATATAACACATAATTTCTAATCTAATCTTAAATAGTAAATAAAAATTGTCCAAATCAATATCTTACATTTTATGCAATAAGTGTGCATGAAAAGATATTTTTTTTTTTTTTTTTTTTTATAGCTCATTGAAAGTATTTCCTTGTATCCTGTTTCGTTCATGTCATGAAAATAAAATACATGTGTTTTTTTTTGTCACTCTTTTTTGGAGCTGTCACAAATATGTTACAGACCATTTTTTTTTTTTTTTTAACAATTCTGTTACAGGTTGCCATTTTTTTTTTAACCTGGCATTATGCAGTGAGAAAGAAAGAAAAAACAGTGTGCTCCTGCCACTTGTTCTGTACTAGCTGATCGTTAGCATGTGGGATTTTAAATGAGATTAACTATTGTAAAAGCTGTGTACAAACATCATCTTATCTGCTGTTGTTACTCATTGTATCTTTATAGAATAGCATTTTGTTTTTCTGTTTGCATAACATTTAGCTAGTTAATGAGTTAACATGGGATTAACTGTAGTGAAAGCTGTGCTTAAACATAATTTCTGCTGTTATTAAGAATTTGTGTCTTCTAATCCGTAGACATTCAGATCTTATTCAGGCTACCTCGTCCAACACTTGATGGCTTACAGTTTATATCCTGTGTTGATTTAAAATGTTTTGTTTGTTCCTTGCTAAATTTTTTAACACTCCAAATTCTGGTAGTCGAGTCTTGGAACCTAGACTCGGAATCTAGTTTGTGTTTTTAATTCTTGGCCCAGTTAGTGTGCATTAAAGCATTCAGGTTGTAGGTGTTGTCCATTTCTTTCCTGTCTGCCTTGGAAGTTATACTTGCCAGACAGGTTTTTATTTGTTTATTTCAACTTGTAACTCACTGCAATGAAGGCCAATCAGAGAGATGAATTGAGGCGGGTGATATCTGCAGCAATGAACCTCAAGGGCTCGGAAAGCTGAAAAAGAAGAAGAAGAAGAACTCACTGCAACCTTCACTTGATGCAGATTTCATCTACTGTTTGTGCACACAAACTGAACCTTGCTGAGCATGCACACTGAATTACTGAGAATCAGAAATGTGTGGCCTCGCTTTCTGTAAGAAATTCTGAATCGTCTGCGTCTTTTCTGCTATCAGCTCGACTTCAGTCACCCCCTGTTTACATCCTCACTCTCTGTCTGTAGTCAGACTGTTGTCTTTTTAATAATAATGAGTGTGTTCACAGCACATTGCCGTTTTCCTCCTGTAAAGTTCTTCTTCTTTTCATTCTCCCTGCCAGTGGGTATCAAATGAGAAGGTCACAGGCTGAATGAAGTTTGTGATGCTACACGTGCCTTCCACTGTTCCATACGGCTTGGTGTCCATTGGAGTGCCAACTGACCAAACCTGGGATCTCTCTACTGCATGCAGAGAGCATGTCTGTAACACATGTATTACATTACATTGGTGCCGTAATTTTCAGTGTCGGCTCTAACAGATTTTTGGTCTGGATAGTTTCTGGAACTTATACTGTAGACACTGCACTGTGCTTTTTTTTCTGAACATTATCTGTCTTCAATTAGATCAGTGGTTCTCAACGTATGGCACATTTATCAGCTGCTTTTTTTCTTTCTTTTTTTTTAAACACAAAAGAAGACATGTTTAGTGTGGCCATTTTGAGTGTCGGGGAGTGTCGGGCTGGATTTTGGGCCCTGAATGTTACTAATCCGATTTAATCTCCTCTTCTTATCTTATGGTATCTATTAAAAAAAATGGCCGGTAACCATAGTGGCAACAACTTGGATTTCAATTTACATCATGGTGGATTTTTTCATGATTGGTCTTTGCTGCCAGATTCCATCCTAAAATGGGTACCGGGTAATGTCCTGGGAAGTAAAGACAGCCTGCATGATGATGTTGACCACACCTCCCACCAACTACCATTGGTCTATACAATCTAAGTCTAGCATCTTTTGCCCCAAGTGCGACTGGCATAAAAGGGATCCTTAATTATTATTTTTTTAAATACTTCTTTTGTATTTATTTATTAAAATAGCCGCCTTGTGAGAATTCCATACATTTATCATTTGTACCCCATGGTCACACAAATTGTTTCCACTGCATGTTCTTCATGTAATCATTTTTTAATGCCTGTTTTTATGTGTTTGTGTTTGAAAATTGCTTTATCTTTTTTTATATCTAGAGATCTCCGAGAAAGATATTCCAGCTAGCTCAGGTTTGACTAAAATCTGATTCCTTAATATCATTTATATATATGTGTGTATGTGTTACCCTGAACAAAATATACACCTACTTACCTAAGTGTTTAAAAGATGAACAGTTTCAAGTGATATTTTCAGTAGTAGATAGTTAACTGCTGTTTTTTTCTCTCTCTGCTTAACATGAAATATAAATGTATTACTTAAACTGTTCAACCACCAAAGAGCTCAGCATAAATTGGTCCATGTCTGCCTACACAATGAAACACTTAGCAATAGAAGCAGATTAGTCCAATAACTTGCTAGTTTTGGCATCCCCTCATGTGTCCAACTCTGTGTGCATTCTTTGTTTTGGGTCATTATGTATAATTAGGTATTTTGAATTCCTTTTTTAGTTGAATACCATAATTAAAGCCAAAATTCTCTTTTTAGTCATGTGCCTAGTTTTTTTTTATATAACATATCATTAGCTAAGTGCTATTTTTTGCCTCATTCTTACCGACTGTTCAAATGATGTTTTAGTCTCATCATTACATTTTACCAGAGTTAAAGTAAAGTTTAATTGCTATGTG